ATAAAGTCATGTAATATACTAGCAGTTGGGATTCACAGGAATAGCCCGATCTGATTCCATGGTTTAGTGATGTAAGTACCCTGTGCTTCTCTAGATGTTTAAGCACTTGTCTACAGATAATGTGTTCTAGTAGCTTGCATGGTACAGATGTTAGTGATACTCCCTTTTTGAAGACACTTGAGATATTTGCACTAAGCCAGTCTCTTGGTAGCGAACCAGTATTTATATATTTTTCAAATATTAATGGAAGTCCAGGTGCTAGTTGTTTCGAGTATTCGGTTTTGTATTCCATCTGGGCCTGATGCTATAGTTTATTCAGTTCTTTTTTTCCTTGCCTGCTGGTATAGCCCTGTTTTCTTCTTCAACATTTTCCTGATTTTGTGATTTATCCAAGGTAGGCTGGTTTTTGAGCGCATGAGTTTTGATGGTATGTGTTTGTCCAGTTTTGTCTTTCTTAAACTTGTCCAATAATTCCTGTGCTCTGGCACCAGTTTTATACATGTCAGTGATGTTGGTTGAAAGTATAGTGAGGTCTTTGTGTAGGTCTTCCCATTTTGCTTTGGAGTATATATAGCATTTGCGTTGCTTCTAACTTTGGTAGTGTGGTTTTATGTCACAATCTGTTACAATCATATCGTGGTCAGATATTCCTGGAGCATTTGTAGATGTTTTGATAAATGACGGGTTTGTAGTCAGTATTATGTAAAGTATGTTGTTGCCTCTTGTAAGTGTATCTGTATTATTGAGTGTGATATGATAAATTCCATTAATGCTCTTTGAATTTCCTTGTCTTGTGCATTTAGCTGTACAGACATGGTGTTCCAGTTCTGGGGAGTTGAAATCTCCAGTTGGTATTATGTTTGGGTTTTTTTTTTGAAATCTGGTCTAATGATTTATCTACTTCTTTGATATCTACCATGTTCTGATGTGGCATGTAGAATGAACCTATCGTGAGGTCTTTTTTGTCTTTCAGTTGTATTTTTACCCATCCAATCTCGCATTTTGTTACAAATTCTGGTTTTTCCATTGCAATTACATGTATGTCGTTTTGTACAAGAATGAAAACACCGTCGCCCATTGCTGTAGTCTGTGTAGTTTTCAGGGAATTCACTAGATTTAATTGCATCTTTAGTGGGTTTTTCCATGTTTTTCTCCATTAAGCCAAGACTCTGTGCCGCAGCTGTGAAGTTTTCTGGGAAAACTAAACTAGATTTAATTGCATCTTTAGTATGTTTTTTCCAGGTTTTTCTCCTTTAAGCCAAGACCCTGTGCCGCAGATGATGTCTGGTTTGATGTAATTAACTACAGCTAGAAATTCAGAGGTCTTGTCCCTGATGCGTCTACAGTTTAGTGTTAGGATTCTTAGGTTTTGCTTCTTTGGTGTGTTTAAAACGTAACTGCAGTTAGTTCTGTTCTTGCTTGTGTTACTTTTTGGTGTGTTATTATGCATGGACTGCTGGTTTTTAGTGGACTGAATGCATATGATGTGATGGATTCAAATTTACTGCTATGGGTTAAAGGATCAAAATAGTTTGAAGTGTTCAATTTATAATTGTGAAAAGTAAAGGTTGAGACATTGATGACTTCACATTTATAACACAGCCATTGCACGTTAGATCTTTGCAGTAAATCGTAGTCTGCGGAACAAAATTCTATGCATGTTCTATGGTGCCAGATATAACAGTCGTCACTGCATACTCTTTCGAATTCCATGTGACTGAGTGTTCACAAAGTCCACATGGGTAAATACTTTGTTTTTTGTTCTTGGTCCAGGGTTTTGTCCATTGTCCTGTGCAGGAAAATTTTTATAACTATTGAATGATTTTTATTTGGTTTAACAGGTAATATCATTCGTTGATGATCATTTGCTGTTTAGAAGATTTGTAAGTAAGTGACGATGGTCCCATGATTTTTCATTGAAGATGGATTTTCCGATGTGACATATGAGAATCACTGCTATAATTGAAGTAAATATTTTCATCTTGTAGAATTTTGCGATTGTTTGAAAGCTTAAATGTTGGATTACTGTTAAGGTCCTCGGTTTAGCTCGGAAGAGCCCGTGATGACTGAAAGCAACAACAGCAATTACCAACAGTTAAGTTGTGCTTGCTCGGTAATCTTCTTTAGCCAGGTCTTCGCCAACAAGTTGTCTGGGTGGATTCCTTCAGCGTATAGATTGTGGTCATATTGTGTCCTGGTTGTACATGTAGCTGTTCTGTGGTCTCCTTTTTTTATATTTAGATTTTACGCAACTTTTTGGAAGTTTTGGTCCTCGGTGCTCTTCAGCTTTGTACTTGTTTTGGCTTTCAAACTTTTTTCATCTGAGCGTCACTGGCTAGTCTTGTGTGGACGAGACGCACGTCTGGCGTATTGGATTTTAAACCTGGTGCCTTTTGTTAGCTATTATTCGTGTGTTTCTTTGTCCTATATGCTCTCCCATTTATTTGTATTGTAATCCTGTCATGTAATGTTGTCATTTTAATGTTATATTTAACATTGCCATAAAAGCGGGAGGTTTGGCATGCCACAAAACCTGGTTCAACCAACCTTTTTTTTCTTAAAATGTCCTGTACCAAGTCAGGAAAATGGCCATTGTTATATTAAAGTTCGTTTCTGTGTGTGTTACATTTTAATGTTGTGTTTTTGTTGTGTCGTTGTTTCCCTCTTATATTTGATGCGTTTCCCTCAGTTTTATTGTTTGATTTGTTTTTATCTCTATCGATTTATGAGTTTCGAACAGCGGTATACTACTGTTTCCTTTATTTATCTGTAGATCAAATGAAAATTTGAGAGAGTGGCTGTTAATGCTGGGATTTAGTTCTTTGACGATACTGTTGTGACAAGAATTCTAAACTGACCATTTGAGGCAGAAAATTGTGAACTCTCATTGAAAAATAGGCATACAGTAAAATGTGGACTGGAGACACAGGCAGGATTGGATACTTTATATAATCTTGAATGTTGGAATGATTGACTGCTAAACATTTCATTTACAGTATGTATTCTGAAATGCATTCAATATGTTAAATTGTTTAGAAATGCTTATATTTACTCTTCGCAGTGATGACTTGGTATGCTAGTAAATTATCCTGTTCTATAAATTTTCAGGCGATGTGTATTTACGGTGGCAGTTCCAGCGGTATATTGAGTGTGCTGGTGTTTCAAGTATTGTTATTTTGCAGTTGGACTAATTCAATAATTTTTTGTAGTAATCTATCAAGTGATTTATAGTTTCATCAGTGTAGGTGTTGATAGATATGTATTTTTTGTTATAGGATGTTAGGTGGCATATGCCTAGCAAGACATATCCATATAGCTCCTAATTCTCTAGTTTTGATATTTAGGGTTGATTATAACCATTTAAGTCGGTCAACTATTTTAGCATCAATCTTGCACCACCAAATAATTTCTTTTTCTACTGTGTTTGATCTGTTTACATGTTTACATGGTTTTTGAGCCAGTTGCCTTTTCTGTCCGAAAAAACGACATGTGTATATTCCTTTTGTGTGGTTGGCTGTTCTTTTGCGTTGTTTAGGAATTTTACAAGTTTGGAGTTTGACGTTTGCTAGTTATTAATTTTATTAATTCTTTACAAAGTGATATGTTTGGGATGGTTTATTAGCTGATTAATTTAATTGCCATTAGCTATTTCCCCAGTATTTCCATAAAAACCTTCACGTAAAAAAAGTCCTTGAAATCTTACTAATTTCATTCTTTCACAGCTGCCTGTGTATGTTAAGAATTCCTTACAATATCATTACATATATTATATATCGGAAAGTTGAGACTTTGTCCATTTGTATATTTCACAGTATAAATAACGAATCAAAAGATTTATCAGTACTGTTACTATAAGTATCCGTAACACATAATATATTATTGCTACTGATAATTTACGTGTCTTTTTAATCTTGTGCACTTAAATACACCAGGAATGGAACCTACTATTGCTGTATCTAAAAAACCACTAAAAACCATCAGTAATGCTAAAGCTTTATGGTTTTAGTGCAAAATCCTTCGTCCATTCCATTTATGTTTTCTCTTTGAAGATCGCTTAAATTTGCGTAAAAAGAAGACTATGCCCAGGGGCAATAACAAACTAAATTTCGAAATAAAACGTACAATGAAATCGGTAAAAAGACGAAGAGACAGACAATTGTCCAGAATACTAGATACTGAGAAAAACGAGTCGAACAAATTATTTGTGGTAAACTCATGTTGTTAAAAGTTAAATTAAATCTTTAAGTACGATTTTTATTTTATTTGAATAAACGTTCAGAACTATTCACAATCATTTCAGAGCTCAAATTACGTACACACGATGCTGTGATACTTTTAAAGAGAGGCGAACGATAATAAAGGGGAATTCAAACTCAATTTATAATCGAAAACAAAATACGAAAACGACCTAAAGATTGACAACAGTATATTAAACACAACATCGTGTTGCTCATGTAAGTACTAATCCGGTGATAAGTCTTAATTGGTAAGTCACATTCGAAGAAAATACGAAGGAATTGTGATTTCGACAGTTGGAATATATCCGTCGTCATCTGAGAAACAGATATTCCATAACAGTCTACCAACTCGTGTGATGGCGTCCTTTAAATTTTCAAAGGGACGATTTCAACTCACCACTTGGAAATCTTGGTTTAATAGCTTCCTTGTGAGCACCGATCCTCTCTCAAGGAGATCATGACTGGAAATGCAAGCTCTGAAATATCGTATCAACTTGGAGATATAAAATCCATATGCAGGCGCTGCTCGAATCGAGGGTGATTTGGTTTAAAAAAAAATATTCTATCTGATGCATTTTTATAACATTAAGCTTTTCATATCCTTGAAAAGCATTGATGAACAATTTCAGATATTGTGCTGCAGAACTTTGGACATTCTCATTGGTCCATGCAGTATTTCCTAAGTCTCTGAGACCTGATTTACGAGGCCTTAAACTTGATTGTTGAATAGGTCTTCTAGATAAAATACTTAACTCTAAACACTAATTTGCAATATCATAAACATATATACATGTTCAGTGTTTTGTACTCAAGATAATTTTGTTTCTTTGATGCCTTGATTGGTTCTCTTTGACACGCAATGATTTGTCACATAAATGCACTAATGTTCTGGCCATTTTGCCATTTTGTCTTTACCGATTTCTATATCTTTCAATAGTGCTTTACATGTTTCCAGTTTTTTTTTAATTTATTTTGACACACATTGAGAATTGTTTTCGTCAAGGTATTGTCTGTCGTCAAATAAGAAGTTTATTTCATATCCTGTTTTTGTTCCACGACTTCATATTGATCATTATTCGATTCCCTATTTCCTAATCCTATTTGGTCAAGGTCAACATATTCATTTGCGGCGTAGTCATATTCAGAGTTAGACACAGCACGACTGCCTGATACACTAGCAACATTCATGTATGGTTTTTTACTATTTTCTAGGGTATGATACTCGTGGCTTTGGTCGTTCTTTGTTGGAATTGTATAGTCATCTGAAGTAATATCATTTTTGAAAATGTCCCTTTTTTCACTCGTAACAATATATCTAAAATTCAATATAAATTTTATAATTAACATCTCATTCAAATTAACGATAAACTGTAGAATTTGTGCAAAAAAATACAACAAAATCTTTCCAACCATTATAAAAATTATAAAAATAAGGAGATGAGGTATTGTTGCTGTTATTGTTGCTGTTATTGTGTTAATATTGAAATAATACATATTTAAATTTATAATTTATGGTATGATGCCGATCGGCTGCGATTATTTATCATAAGAGGGTCAAAGTATATACATGTATATTTATGTCATATACACATGTCGATTTCGAATTTTAGATAAACAAGAAACCTAGGCATAGATATATATCTAATCGTCAACTATATACCGTAATTGTTCACCGTGATAAATGGATATCTCACAGCCAGCAGAGACTACAACATACGTGTAGCATCAAACATTGATCATTTTGTATATCTTGAACAAAAATATGGAGAAACTTTAACAAGTTTATATAAATGTAAATCAAACCACATCTCCTTATTTTTATAATTATCAATTAAATTCAGCTATTATATGTATGGAAAACATCACTGTTTTAGCCAAAAGGAAACGAAAACAAAAACAAAAATAAAGAAAATTCTTTTCCGCATTTAGGACTGAAATTTGAAACAAAAGTCTAGAACAAAAATTTTAGTTTTCAAAGGACTTTTTTTGGATTTATGCTCTTCAAACATTTTATTTTGAGTACACATCAACGGAAAGGTTATTCCAAAACGATGTGTCGTTTGGACATAATTCCGTTACCGTTAATGTATCATACTATTTTTACAATCACTAGGTCGGTACTGGTGCTTGCCGATTATTAGTCTTCTTATATTCTTATTTCGAAAGTACTCGATAAAGGTTAATCATGAACACGTGCCGTGTTAACGTATCTCAGTATTGCATTTCTTCTTCTATAGACAATTGATTTCTTTATTTTAGAAACACTATTTTGCCATTGATGCCGGTGATTTAAAATGTTCATCTAAGGGCCTGCCACAAGAATACAATATCTTTAATATTTTTTTTATATATAATTCGAATAACGGAACTTAAACGTTTTTGTTAAAACTGTTAAAAATTCGTTTATATAAATATATAAAACGTAATAAAATGTGAAGCAGAAACTGAATACCTTTTTATAAATATTACTGCTACGACGCCAACACATATTAACAGTACCAAACCGATCACCAGTCCGATTATCATCCCTAAAAACAAATAAACCATAATTAATGGCGCTCAAAATGTATTTCTGTAAACATTCAATATGTGCTCTCATGGTCGAATGTAGGAAAATTACGTAATATATACCTACTTGGTAATGACTGTATATAAATTAGAAGCTTGAAATAACCTAATAAAATAGCCAAATAAATCATAAAGATTTAAATCAAAAGTCGAGTCAGCGTGAAATCATCATTGGAAGTTGTTGAACAATTTTTCTCATATTTGAAATATCTGTTAGGTTCTTCATATAATATCCGCAACGGAGAGAGAGAGAGAGAGAGAGAGAGAGAGAGAGAGAGACGTGGGCATCCATATTTTTTTTTATTGAAAGCAGCTATAAAAATAAAGGTTTTCTTTGACAGATAGACAGACCACTTGTCATTCTCACGTTACCAACGTTATATATTATGGAACGCCACAGCTGTCTTATGATGAACTCTGATATTACGTTATGTTGTTTTATTATTACTTGATGATGTTTGTCTTTACATAATATGGTTTTGACATTACGTAATGATGTTTTGATATAACTCAATATGGAATAGTCATTACTTAATGATATTTCGATATTACACGATATGGTTTCGTATTGACTTGACATAGTTTTGTCATTACTTAATATAGTTTTGTCATAACTAGATATGGTTTCCCCATAATTTAATGTGGTTGTGTCATAAGGCAATGTGGTTTTAACATAACTTGATGTGTATGTGACTTAACGTAATGTAGTTGTTTCATTACATGATGTGGTATTGTTTTTTCGTAATGATGATTCTCGAACTCTACCTTTAAATGTGACTCAAAATCGAAGTTCAACTCGAAACTCAATGCTTACTAGAACTTTAATTCTACTAATGGCTTGAATTCTAACTCGAAATTGAAGACTAACTCAAAGTTTAACTCGAACAGTAACCCAAACTTTAATTTGAACTCTAACTTGATGGATGGCCACACTCATCCAAGGCGCATAAAACATGGAAATCTATTTTGCAAAATAGAACTAGTTTTTCCGAATTGGTCACGTGGTTTTACCTCATCAAGTAATGTGATAACCACATCAAAGAATGACAGGACCACATCAAATACTGAAACAAACACATCATGTAGTGTAAAATCGTCAAATTTTGAAACATCATTACGTAATGTTAAAGCCATATAAAGAATTGGCAAATCATCATTACGAAATAGCAAAACCACATCATGTAATGAAACAACTACATTACGTTACAGATCAAGTAATGTTAAAACCACATTGCCTAATGACACAACCACATTAAATAATGGTGAAACCACATCGAGTAATGACAAAACCATATTAAGTAATGACAAAACTATATCAAGTCAATACGAAACCATATCGTGTAATATCGAAATATCATTAAGTAATGACTATTCCATATTGAGTTATATCAAAACATCATTACGTAATGTCAAAACCATATTAAATAAAGACAAAATATCATCAAGTAATAATAAAACAACAAGGATTATTTCGCTCTTTTTTATGCAGAAATCTAAACATAAGAAAACATACAAAAACATAAGATAGTATGCATTGTATACCCGAATTCGTTTAAGAAAGGTACAAAATCAAAATCATGGTGTTGAGCAGCAAGAAATGCATTTATTTCAGATTTATTGAAAAATCTATTGCTTTTGTGGAAAATTTCGTAGTTTAAACAAGTCCCATTCAATTCTACAGATCAAAATGATTTAAGTTAGGACTGTCGTTTACATAGACTATTCTTATACTTAAAAGATTGTTCTAGCAAGAAATAAAATCAGTATAGTTAACGTCGTATATATTTTAAACGATTACGTCGTCTTTTTTTATTTATCTAAAAAAACGAAAAGAGAGTAGTATTGATGACGTTAGTTTCGAGCATTTTTTGAAAGCATGGTGCTAACATGGATAATACACGTAAGTATTATTTCATGTGAAATGACCATCCTTGGCTTAATATAACATGCTTTGAATGCAATTTTGTTTAGATTATTTTTACCAAAATACATACGTTTGTGATCACCTCACTACGAAGTGAAGAAATAGTAATATAGGAATTGCATATAAGGTTGGCGACTGTTAAAACTTTTAAACCCGCAGCATTTTTATGCACCTGTCCGAAGTCAGGAGCCTGTTGCTCAGTGATTGTCATTTGCTGGTGTGGTTCATAGATGTTTCTCGTTTCTCGTTTTTATATAGATTAGACCGTTGGTTTTCCGGTTTGAATTGTTTTGCACTAATCATTTAGGACCCTTTATAGCTTGCTTTTCTGTATGAGCCAAGGCTCCGTGTTGAAGGCCATACTTTGACCTATAATTATCAACTTTTTACACATTATGACTTGGTTGGAGAGTTGTCTCATTGGCACTCATACCACATCTTCTTAATATTTACATTATTACTATCTTTTCATATTAAGAACAAATAGCGCAACACAATTCATGTGATACGCTATTTTGTTTTCTTTTCCGAAACTTTCGTTTTAAGCAAGAAACTTTAAGATTTTAAGACATATGAAACGGTGTAATATTTTACATTTATTGTCTGATACTCTTGAGAGTAATAGCAATAAATTAAAAAAAACTGTTTGGTTTGAAAGTTTCGAGAATTTATATACAAAGATACATATAACTTAACCAAATGTTTTATATAGGATGAAGAAAACGGACATGGACTTAATGTAACTGCTGTTTGATGTCGGGCATAATCTTGTACAATTTAAAAATATATTTCTTTATTATGCTCACAAATCTTAAAAAAATTCCTTAAATGTAATGAACAACAACCTATATTCACAGGGCAACTCTATACAATATAACAGACGTGTTAGTCAGAGACTGATTACATAATTGATAAACTAACAAATGATAACGTTTTAAAGATGTCGGCTACATACAAACGAGACAGAAACCACAAGAAGACATATAGAGTGCAGCATAAAATCTGAGAACAGGAAGTTTCAACAAATGTGTAAATAATTGTTTGCTTTTTTTCATACAATGCACTATCACATTTTCACGATATATTATCAGGCTATAGACGGAAATGTTATAAGTATATCTCCAAATGAATGACAAAAATTTAATTCAATAATGATACATAAAAGTCAAGTATTAAGTACAGCGATATTGACTTAAACTTTTAACAAAGCAGAACTCGAAGCTTATATTTACTTTCTGAAATAATGAAAAGCTTGATATTGTTGTGACATTCATTTTTATGCCTACCGACGACAGAAGGGATGCCTTATGTTTTCCGTTCTGTGTGCCCATTTGTTCAAGTTAAAGTTTTTTGTTAGTCCGTCCCGTATCAGGTTAAGGTTTTTGTTTAAGTCGTTTAACATCTACTTGAAATTTTGGACAATTGTTATGCCCCAACTTCGATAGTAGAGGGGCATTATGTTTTTCGGTCTGTGTGTCCGTTCGTTCGTTCGTCCGTTCATCCGTCTGTCCCGCTTCAGGTTAAAGTTTTTGGTCAAGGTACTTTTTTGATGAAGTTGAAGTCCAATCAACTTGCAACTTAGTACACATGTTCCCTATGATTTGATCTTTCTAATTTTAATGCCAAATTAGAGTTTTGACCCCCAATATCACGGTCCACTGAACATAGAAAATGATAGTGCGAGTGGGGCATCCGTGTACTATGGACACATTCTTGTTCCTTATGATATGAGTTGTTCATATTTTATAGCAGATAACGGGTTTGGCCCCCGATAACACTCTTTAATAAAATTGAAATGTGATAGTTTGAAATTAGTACATTCTCAGGTTACGGTTAATGTTCAAGATAGTTGACCATGAAGTTTTGGTCACATCTTTTGAAACGATGAATTCATGGTTCACTGAACAAGGACATAGGATGGAGTTATTGTGCATGGTCTCCAATGAAGACATATTCTTGTAGTTCTATGAGAATGTCAATTTTCATGTAGATATTTTTCTTCCTTTTTCTATATTTTCCCTGCTAAGTAGTTTTGTTCTCACTGTGCTATAATCTGGATTATACACAGCTAAGATTTTATTATTAAGCAATCTTGAAATGATCATAAAGGGATACTATATAGAATATTGTGACATTGCATTTTTCAACCAGATAATATAAAAAACAAATTGGACACAAATAGAAGAAAGAAACTATCACAAGCAGCAAAATTTCTGCTTTCTTATCAGCATTAGGACCAATCAGCAAAGCTGTGAAACTAATGAGGAAAAACTGAAAGTGTTAATTGTAAAATAGAGCAGCTCAGATATAAAAAGGATAAATTCATGATTGATTAGGAATTTCTGAATGTCAGTAATAAAGGGCTGCCTTGCAAAAAGGTTAGATCAGTTTATTTTCGAAGTAAAAATCTAAATTTGACGGAGTGGTTTATTGATATGATTGTGACAGTTAAGTGACGCAAGAATTTCCAAACTATGTAATTATGCTAAATGTCTGTATATGGCTGTTTGAAACGTGGATACTGCTTTTTATGTTATCTGTGATAACAAAAATAAAACGTAACCAACTAAAAAAAAAATCGAATACAAGTATGATGAAGTGATATTGATGTTTTTACCTGTATTTCCCATATCTCCAATATCTTCCTCATGTGCTGCAGAATTTGTTAAAAGCCCTGGAAGAACATGTTTTTAAATATATTGTTTTCTTTAAAATTTGCTCTAAATAATTACAATTGTCAATGAGTTAAGGGCAATAACTCCTAAAGAAGACAACTAACAATGTCATTTATTTGCAGATCTTGTCTTGCTGATCATTGTTGCTGTATAAAGTATTAGAATTCTCAAGATTATAAGCAAAAATAAAAATAAATGGTAAAATTCGTCATTAAGCTAGGGTAACCTCTAATACTCGTTCTGTCAGTTTTGATGTAGATAAACGGGTGGTAGATCAATCATTCTGAAAAGGGGAGAAATAAGATAAAATAACCATTTTTACCCCGCTACATATCCAAGTACCTGTCATAGGAAAGCAACCTCGTCGATGATAATTGTCATAGATCAAACATATATTTTAATACTTGTATGTTATTTTCGATAATTTGGTGTTGGTAGCACATTTTGTTAGTTTTCGTTCAATGTATTCACTTTTTATACTCCATTCAAGTCCTATCACTTATTGAAAGAAGAATCGTTATTCTTCTGGGAAGCTACTAATAACGATAAAAGATAGACATGAATCCTTTTCAAATTACATGGTATTTAGACGACGACGAATACATTATCATATATAGTACGATTTTATCATGCTTGTAAATGCTCTAAAAGAGTTAATACATACCAGACGGTAATCCTAAAGCTACTTTGATATTAGATACAGAATATGATGTCATAAATCCACCACAACCTCCCATATGCATTTCAAAATCAAAATAAAATTCACTACCCATGGATAAACTGTTATCTATTAATGATGAATAATCCATCCAACCGGTCATAAAGATGTCTGAATTACCAACTCTTCTCGGATGGCTACTATTCGGATTAAAATAGAAAGTAATGTAACTATTTGGATTAGCGTCACAGTTTCTGAAGGTAAAATCCCTGTCTCCAGCACGGTATCCTTGTATAGTTTTGTCTCTTGTCAAGCTAATTGGTAAAAATCCGAGAAACAAATATGGCGACATATAATCGGCATTTTTGCTTTGAGGTCCTTGGTATGAAGTATGGTTGTTATATCCGAAGTAGAGGTCAGACTTATTTTGATATCCTGTCAAATTTTCTACAGTAACTTCATTTTGTGTACCGTTGTTCCACCTGATACGGATTTTAGCAAAGTTTCTAGCGGTGTATAATTTTGACATGTCAATTGGTGTGTTATACGACGACTTTGATATAAATGTATACACCCAATATCCCTCGAAGAAGCAATATACCTTAACAGGTTTTTCGTTATGATAAAGTACGTATTCTCCACTGTTATTTCGATTCTTTGACAAGTATACTTCTTTGCAGGAACCTGAAAGTAGTTTCGATACTTTAAACATGTAACATTCTATAAGAAAGTTAGGCCCCTGAGTTCTGTTTCCACTCTTGCAAGTTTCAAAAAGTCTTTTAATCTTTACTTGAATTCACAGTATTACCGTTCCACATCAGTCTGGCATAGGTGTATTTTAAAATCGCCTAAAGATAGCCCAAAACCGATTTTTTTTCTTCAAATTTCGAATATTTTTTACGAAATATGTATGATGCCAAGCTTATAAGAGAGGCGAAAGATACCAAAGGGACATTCAAACTCATAAGTCGAAAATAAACTGACAACGCCATGACAAACAATAGTACACAAAACACAACATAGAAAACTAAAGACTGAGCAACACGAACCCCACCAAAAACTGGGGGTGATCTCAGGTGCTCCGGAAGGGTAAACAGATTCTGCTCCACATGTGGCACCCGTCGTGTTGCTCATGTTAGTACACACCCGGTAATAAGTCTAATTCGGTAGGTCGCATTCGGGAAAAGGGGACGGGATTGTAGTTACGGCATTAGGAACATATTCGCTATCATCTGTGAAACGGATATTACGTAACGGTCAACCAACTCGTGATAGCGTCCGTAAAATTAACGAATGGATGATTTCAACTTCACCAGTCGGAACTTTTGATTTAATAACTTCCTTGTGTGCAGCAACCCTCTATCAAGGAAACCATGATAGGAAATACAAGCCCTGGTGTATCGTATCAACTGGGAGATATATACTCAGTATGCAGGCGCTGCTGGAATGTTGCTATATAAAAATGGAAAGTTCACAGTTGGGAAGTTGAAATCATCTCTTTTGTCATAAAGTTTTGTTTTCAACCGACCTTAATTGTCAATTTCTTGATGTAAGTCAAGATATGAAGCAGACTTAACTGTATCTGTTGTATCCTTTATCTCAAGTTCGATGGGATAGATGCGTTCAACATAGCCACGAAATTTTGAATTATTTGGTGAGAGAACATCATCTATGTAGCGGAAAGTAAAGTTAAAAGATACTGCTAACTTCTTTTCTTTCTTCCTCAGAAGTTCCTGTATGAAGTCAGTCTCATATGAATAAAGGAACAAGTCGGCAAGAAGAGGGGCACAGTTGGTTCCCATGGAAATGCCGATCGTTTCTTGAAAAACACGTCCTCCAAACGTAACAAATATGTTGTCAATCAAGAAATCAAGCATCTCGATGATGACAGTTTCAGAGAACTTTTTGTTAGAATCAGAGTGATTTTTTAAAAAGTAGGATTTATCCCTCCCTAAGACAAGATCCTTGTATCTACGTTGGCCATTCTTTTTTGTGAAACAAAGCAGGACCAACACTTTCAATTTGTCTTTTAGTTTGGAATGGGGAATACTTCTGTAAAGTGGTACATTTTTGTACCTGCTAGCCATCGGGTCTGCCAATTTTTCCGAAGTTCTGTGTTTGAACAAATATATTGCCGAGTTAACGAGCTTCAATACTTTCTAATAATGTAAGATGTAGTAGAGAATTTATAAGAAGTCGTGGATTTGTAAGCGATAGTCAACGAGCGCACTTTAGTCACTACTTCTGTTAAATTCTCTCTTACTTAACATATTTCATGTAAAAGGTCGTATATATAATTGATTGTTGGTTGTTTAACATCCAATGGCAAATATTCCATGCATGTTCAGGACGAGAATAAATTAACATTAAATACAATAGGTAGGTCCTGTCATAGAGGCCGTCCTGGATGATGTTTGGGAAAATTTACTGCAACTGGAAAATGAGGGTAATGGATAGGGACAGAAATTTTGCCTTGCAACAGGCAACATACGGACCCTTCAAAGAGTCTATATAAAGTTCTCCGGGTGTGGGATTTTCTCGCTGTGTTGAAAACCCATTGGGCTGTTTTCTGCTCTTTGGTCGGGTTCTTGTCTCTTTGACACATTTCCCGTTTCCATTCTCAATTTTATTCTGTATATAAATCAAGGGAATTATCTTAAGATAATTTCATTGATTGTCTTTTTATTCCTTTATGCTCGAAAAAATGATTCCTTACATATAAAACCCTTATTTAGGTATCCGCCAAGTTAAAGATAGTCAAAAATAACTTAAAATTTGATACATATTTATTCTACTATTGTTCAGAATGCATGTTCAATCCTTATCTGTAAGACATATTTTATTAACTATTTCGGCAATTATTAGCTATAATAGAAAGCTAAATAATAAATTTGAAAGTGAATAATTCCGTGTGCCTTATCTTTGTGTGTGTGTGTATATATACACTAAAAGACATATTCTAACTCACTTACTACTGTTTTTTCATAAATATGATATATATAGTAATTCAAATCGAATACCCATAATGAATAAGTTTGAGATTTTTTAAGCTAAGGTATATTGTTTAATCGCAGGTAATATAATGTATCTTACTTTTACAACATATGCGGACCTTTATGTAAGTAAGTGTGCGATTGTAGCTGTTATATAGTATTTGGTTAAATATATAGTTTCCTTTCAGTATTGACATGATGTTTACTTAAACATATTTTGACCAAGAAAAGTAAATGTTTTGATAAGATGAATACAAAACTAATCATGCAATAATCATAAGTAAACATATGCTATGATGATGAAGAAAATTGAAAGTCTTTGAACGTGACAAGTGCATATAACTAGAATGTAATTACCATCATATGAGGGTTCAGTTCAACAAACTGTGTAAGTATATATGTGTGTGTGTGTTTGTGTGTAAGACGAAATTGAAAATCGACCAATACTCAAACTTTAATTTGACCTGTTGACACAATTTTTTTATGCATTTCTGCAATGTTTACTTATTTTGTGTTATATCTCGTCTCACTATTTTTAATATGTACCACCATTGATAATTATTTAGTATGACGATAAATTTTCACTTCTGTACTCGTACTCTGAACAACAAATTTTATTAGTTTTGTAAAAAATGTTTACTTCCGTACTCCTAACAACAAAATTATCATATTTAAATTTACCTGTGTACGTTGTTTTATTTAACTCCATTTTGTATAAGGTAAGAGTTGTCTTATTGACACTCTTCCTACAATTTTTTTTATTACTACCTGTAACGTCTATGTTATATAGGCATCTACGTTTCAATATTGTATTTATATCGTGTCATAAATCAAACTTATTCGTTCAGTGTATGTTTACTTGTTTTTATTTAAATGTCTTTTCGATCGAGTTAAGCCATTTCAATTGATATTTTATAGTGTGTCTTTTTGTGTTGTAATGTTACACTACTGTCTCGGATTAGGGTGAAGGTTGGCACCTGTTAAAACGTTTAAACCCGCTGCATTTTTATGCACCTGTCCTAAGTCAGGAGCCTGTTGTTCAATGGTTGTCGTTTGTTGGTGTGATTTCATAGATGTTTCTCGTTTCTCGTTTTTCTATAGATTAGACCGTTGGTTTTCCTGTTTGAATTGTTTTACACTTGTCGTTTTGGGCCCTTTATAGCCTGCTGTTCGGTTTGAGCCAAGGATCCGTGTTAAAGGCAGTACTTTGACCTATAATTGTTAACTTTTTATACATTGTGACTTGGATGGAGAATTGTCTCATTGGCACTCATACTACATCTTCTTATTTATATTAACATCCGGTATAAACTTTTAAATTTTTTTCTGTTTAATCGTTATTACTATGTTCTGAATTAGAACGATACAATGTTGAACGTTAGCTTCTTTAAATTAACGAATAATGGCCCAAATATATGAATCAACACACAAATTAAACGGAAACAAGAAAAAAATAGACATAATATATATTCTATAAACGAATAAGCCCAATGAGATAGCAATACAGTTTGTTGGCGTGTACAGACAAGTATTTATCAATAAAGCACTTTAATTATTTAAGTTATCAAATGTTGTATGTCAGCAGTCGTGGTCGATTATAATAAAGATAAAAAAAAAAATGCTCAGATTGAAGATAATGATGAGTGTCAAAGAAAATACGCACAAGTTCGAACCAATAATGTGATATATAATATTGAGGGGTAAAAAGTTCCGACAGTTAAATTTGAAAAGCTAGACAATAAGTTAGCTTAAGTTTATACAGTTGATTCCTGAAAAGTCTAAAGTTAGAAAATGGGTTAATCGCTATATATCCTATTCGTTTTGTATATAAATCAGATCGGCTTTATTTTTATCGTTTGAATGATTTTACATTTTTGATTTCGGGACTTTTTAAAGCTTGCTATGCGGTATAGGTTTGTTCATTGTTGAAGGCCACGTACGGTGATAACACAGACACAGAAGTGCTGACTAATGCATGGGCTGGTGATACCTTAGTAGAGCAAAACTCCATCAGCAGTGGCATCAACCCAGCGGTTAGGAAACAAACTCATCAAAGATACCAGGCTTATGATTTTATACGCCAAACGCGAGTTTCGTCCATTGTTGAAAGCCAAACGTTAACCTGTAGTTGTTTACCTCGTTAATTTTGTCATATGGTCTTTAAGGATAGTTGTTTCATGGTAAACATATTGCATTTCTTATTTTCATAATAAATTTATGTTCTGAATATCACACAAAATAATAAAAAAGAAAAGTCCTGGGAACATTTCCAAATATTGCATGAAGTATCATTCTAATTACCAAAACTTCTACATTGAAATAATAACGGATACTACCTGGTTTTATAAATGATAGTTATTGTACTGCTTAGAGAATGCCAACACTTAAAGGGAATTAGTATTTAAATGCAAATACTCACTGAATGCTTCTACATACGGATATAAACATACCAGTACCGTGTAAATGTACAAACTTAGCGAAAGGGTAGACATGTTTTGCTAAAGAGATTCACCTAAAAATAAAATATAAAAATGTTAACGTATATCAATGACTTATACCGTAAAATTTATTTCAGCTTGCCAATTCAGTTGAAAGAGATGTCTAGCAGTCTCTTTTCTGTGGTTTCTAATTGTACTTGAGCGAAACAGTCACTTTAAAATGTCTTACATAAACAGTACAACTCGTTTGAGTGTTAAAAGGAATTATTTTAGCTTACTTTAAAGAATACATCCAATAAGGCATTACATTTATATGACTTACTTTAAATTAGATTTTTTTTTAACAGAGTTTTAACACGTATAAATTCAAAAAAATCCCTAAAATTAAAAAAAACTTTTATGATTTGTAAAAATAACCAGCTGATTCAATGCGATTAGAGTCGATAAAATGGAATGCTGCCTGACAGAATTGGTCGTATTACTGTATATTATCCTTTATATAATACAATTTATTTGAATTCTGAATTTTATGCGAAAGAAAATAAATGCTATAAGTCTGATATTAAAATTTCAAGGCAGGTTATCTTGGTCAAGTGTTTATGATTTTAATTTCATTCAGCGACAATTGGAAGGTTGTTGTGAACCTAAATTATACCTTACTCTATAAAGAATAAATTAAGACACAGCCGATAATGCGATATATGTATGGCAACCAAAGAAACTCTTACAAAAATATTGAAAGGGTTTATACAGCAATAAGAATTAAAGATGTGATACTGAATTGGCAACTAAGCTTCAATGTTATTGTGAAACTAAAAGCGGTGTGAATCAGATGTGGATACAAAAAAGTTCAAAGATATATGTTGTCAGATCATTAAAGATGGTATTTTTGAAATTAATATTGATTTACTCATGGGGTCTTTACATCGGAAATAATCACATTTATTCTAAAATCAGTTGTTGGCATGATACGGGTTCTGTTCTTCTGGTATATATTATGATGGTATTATACTAAACCCCTAACAGGAGGGATTGTGTTTGATTTTCATTTGATGAAGACATAATCTTTCGATCAGTTTAATTGAGGGCTGGAGCTGACATGTCACTAACTGCTAGTAGCCCTTTGTTAATTTATGTTGATAATTGTCATTTTGCTTAGTTTCTTCTGTTACCTATTCTATTATCGGACTCGGACTTCTTTTAAACTGAGTTTTACTGCGCGTATTGCTGTGTATTTGTTTATACCACATTGAATAGAGATAAGGGGAGGGTTGAGATCTCACAAAACATGTTAAACCCCGCCGCATTTTTGCGCTTGTCCCAAATCAGGAACCTCTGGCCTTTGTTTGTCTTGTATTTTTAAAAAATTTTGGTTCATTTGTATGTTTCGGCATTGTCGGTTTTTTCTCAACTAATGAGTTTGAAATTCTCTTTCGTATCTTTCGCCTCTCTTCTACCATGCACATGAGGATTTCAAAATGTTCATATCAAATTTGCTACCACATATGAAATTTGGATTGTTGATAATTTATTATTGAAGGTTTAAAGATCTCAAATGGATTGTAACTACATTATAATATCTATAATGCTTTAAACAAGCAAAAATAGCTTAAGTTGGTACCAAATAAACTCCCTCCCAACGTTTCTTTTGCCTAAGGGACCGGTCAATATTTATTGGGGGGTTGGGACCGGTGCAATTCATATTTCTCCCTTAAACAAATGTATGTCCTACCCTCTGAATATACCAAAAAAAGTTTCTGTCCTATATGAAATATCTAATAAATAAGTATATGTCCTATCTAATCTATGAATAAATCAAACAAACATTAACTTCATTTTTATCAGATTAACATACTAGTAGATCACATATAGTAGTCTTTAAATTTGTCTGGAATTTTAACTGATCTCCTCCTTGAAGAAGGCAAATAAGATTCCTTTTCACTTTCACTGCCACTACTACTACCATTACTACTGTATTCATCATTTAGTATTATTATCATCATTGTCATTATCACTGTCAGAAATGTCATAGGCTCTTATTACAAAGTCATCTTCTTCATCACTTTGGATTTGTTAATTATCTACACTACACACTGCTCAGAGTCTGAAAAGACTAGATTTTGTGCTCACATTTTACTCGACTAGTCTCAACATTTTACTCGACTAGTCTCGACATTGTCTCTACATGTTGATATATTTTATATGAATATATCAAAAAGGGATCAAACATTAAAGAAATTATTAAAATTGTTCTTCTGATTAGTGGTGAAGTATAAAGCAATACCTCCTGCTTGGGGCAAAAAGATCACACCTACCAGAGAGTATTAAATTCTAAATAACATTCATTCAAAATTGCAACACCCTGTTAAACTTAAATCGCAAGGTCTTTTGAATTCACTAGATAAGTAGGTAAACGGACAGAAATTCACAGGACAAAACGTCACAAATTTGATAGGACAAAAAGTCACAAATAATATGTCTATATATACACTTGTTTGAATATTTAATAGAAAGATCTTTAAATATTTACTTTTTATTACATATATTTTTTTTTACAGTTGAGGAAATTGTTCATTAGACTTGATAAATAAAGATTTATTAAATTCTAATCATGCAAAAGATATATTTCTTGGCACCATGAAGCCGGTTAAGTACCAACCCACTTTGACATTTTGTTTTCATAGCAATTTTTTGATCATTATAAATACTTTTTTTTTATATAAATTTTGTTTACAAAGTTGCTCTATATACTAAAGTTCAAGAAAAGTACAAAAATGTTTTTTTTTTAATACGTGTTTTCTTGTTTAAGAAAAATAATCTCAAAACTGAATTGTGACTTTTTGTCCTGTGATTTTTTGTCTGTGACTTTTGGTCCTTTGACTTTCTGTCCTACATTCGAAATGTAATATTCGAGTTTAAGAAAGTATGGCTTTCTTTTTACCTGTAAAACACACATGTACTGATGTAATTAAACCTTATTAAAGTGCTTATTGTATGCCATGTCTTTAAATTTGACAAAAATTATTTAAATTTGATTAAAATAAATTTTTACTGGAACTTTGGAACACATTTCCCTTTTTAAAAGGTTATCAAGGATTGTTATGAAAGTTCTATTATCATGATTATATTAAATTCTTGTTTTAACAAAACAAAGGTGTCATTTAAAATATTTTATAACTTTTTCAAATCAGCTTGGATTTTCATCAAACTTTTCAGCTATCTTTATTATATATTTATCTTACAAAATACCAGGTTGTTTTGTGTTTTGGTGTATTGCTGTCAAATTTAAGGACTTAGTTAATAGGTAAAAAAAGGCTAAAATTTTCAGTTTTGACAAAATTCAGATAGATACCTATAATTTAAATATTTAAATTTGACAGCAATAACCCAAATTACCAAATAACCTGTTTCTTTGTAAGATAAATATATAAAGAAGATAGCTGTAGATTTGGATGAAAATTCAAGTTGCTTTGAAATAGTTATAAAACAATTTAAAGTTTACTATCTGAATTTAGTATGAACTGCAAATTCTAGCTTTTTGTGAACTAGATTAATTTAATCCTTAAATTTGACAGCAATACACCAAACTACATAACAACCTGGGATTCAGTAAGATCAATATATAACTGAGATAGTTGTAGAGTTTGATGAAAATCCAAGTTGATTTGAAAAAGTTATAAAAAACATTAAAGTGTACTATCTGAATTGAGTCCAAACTGCAAATTCTAGCTTTTTTTTACCTAGATTAATTTAATATATATATTTGACAGCAATACCCCAAACTACACAACGACCTGGGATTCAGTAAGATCAATATATAACTGAGATAACTGTAGAGTTTGATGAAAATCCAAGTTGATTTGAAAAAGTTATAAAAAACATTAAAGTGTACTATCTGAATTTAGTCCGAAAGGCAAATTCTATCTTTTTTTACCTAGATTAATTTATTCCTTAAATTTGACAGCAATACACCAAACTACATAACGACCTGGGATTCAGTAAGATCAATATATAACTGAGATAGCTGTATAGTTTGATGAAAATCCAAGTTGATTTGAAAAAGTTATAAAAAAAATTAAAGTGTACTATCTGAATTGAGTCCAAATTGCAAATTCTAGCTTTTTTTTACCTAGATTAATTTTATCCTTAAATTTGACAGCAATACCCCAAACTACATAACAACCTGGGATTCAGTAAGATCAATATATAACTGAGATTGCTTTAGAGTTTGATGAAAATCCAAGTTGATTTAAAAAAGTTATAAAAAAACATTAAAGTGTACTATCTGAATTTAGTCCGAAATGCAAATTCTATCTTTTTTTTACCTAGATTAATATTCCTTAAATTTGACAGCAATACACCAAACTACATAACGACCTGGGATTCAGTAAGATCAATATATAACTAAGATAGCTGTATAGTTTGATGAAAATCCAAGTTGATTTGAAAAAGTCATAAAAATAATTAAAGAATTTAATCAAAATTTGTTTACCTATTAATTTAATTCTTTAATTTCAAAGCAATGATCGAACCAAACTACCAAAAAAACTGGAATTTTGTTAGATCTATATTTAATTTAGTTATAGATGGGCTGATTTACACCATATGTTACTTGTTTGTTTCTCAATTATCTTGTTTATTTTGTTGTAATTTAATTTGTATAGCCTATTTTCTACATACATACATATGCCATAAAAATAATGCTGTCCTATCAGTGCTGAAACCTAAAAAAGCAGAAGTCCTATCAAAAATTAAGTTAAAAAAATGTGTGTCCTTCTGCGTTTTGCACCGGTCCTAACCCCCAATAAATTTTGACCGGTCCCTAATAACATTAACGGTACCAATTTTCCTGCACCAGATGCGCATTTCGACAATTATAACCAAGCTATGTTAACTCTGTTTCTTTTATGTTGATCGTTTGTTCTTTTTACTTATTCTAGGGTGGAACATTGTGTACTAATTAATTTAATGGCGTAGCAAATACGTAACCATTACTTATAAAAATTAACGGTGTTCTATTACGGTAAATTTATGTTAATTTAGGGGAACTGTCGTTCAAGATGTGGCGGTATATAATTATCACTGATACAAACTGAAGGTTAATGTTGATTGTCAGACACATCAAAATATACACACCTTTGTGTAAAAGAGCATAAATATTTACCTGATGATGTTTATTTCTTTTCCAAATGAGAACTACACACGGATGTAGTTGTCACACGACTGTTACAAAAATAGATAACGCCTGAATCAGAAAACACGACATTAAAATCGTTTTTAAATTATCAAGGATGCAGGTTAGTGATTTAAAAATGTCATCCTAACGGGATACGACGTTTTGTGCGATTCTTCATTTATATTAAAGAGTTGTTTATATCCGTTTGAAGCCATTTCTATGCATCTTTTGATGAGACATATTTGTTGCTGAAGGGAAATTCATCTCTTGAATTAAAACGCTTTAAAAAGGTTGAAATGCGTGTTTTAATTCGTTTCTCGTTCGAATATAAAGTATTTAAACCTAAAACCACTACACTTACGTTAACATGTATAAAAATAAAAACCACCATATTCAGGAATTATGATTCCATGTAACAAGTGTGCAGCTTACTTTATTAATTTCATTTACAAGACAATGTACTACTAGGTTAATAAAGACAAGTCCGTCACATATCTGCACTGGCAGCTGCAACGTTGAAATGAAATCTACAAGGACAAAACAGAACAGTCGGCTCAGTTTCAAATAATTGTAAACAAATTTATTATTTGTTCAATGATATGAGTGGGATGGAGTTAACGTTAGCTGCAATAATGAAAATAAATCAACGTTTCATCTAACTTCCTAATGTCTTAACTGGTACCGAGAACCAAAATCCACAGTTTGGCATGGATGTAACTTTTGAAAATCCTACCACTTTTGCACATAAAATCTCGAGACTCTAAGTGTTGCATATTGATTGTAACTTTATTAATTTAGTGCAAAAAACGTATAGTTTCTAAGTTACTGAACAATGTATTCAAATTCGACTGACTATGCAAAAATATTTAAAGTATGCAACCAATTGGACAGAGTGACACCCTTTTTAGGAGCATTTTAATATTCGATAAAACAAAGACATCGTTATAAATGGTTGCAAACCGAACTCATTTAAATATGAACAAATTTAATCGATCCTACTTTCCACCCGTATTGGACATCGCGACTACTCTATGTAGCACCCTCTCCCTAGCTGTAGACTACAAACCCTCATAATTTGTTTTCTCAATTCTAATATATACAACTCTTGGACCTTGCACAAGATAATGTCTGTCTGTATTGTTCATGACGTGGTTGCACGCAATCTTCTATGTGTAGGACGGTATGATTTCTTATCAGCAAGTTATTAAGTACTTAAAGCTTGTTTTCAGTAACAGCGATCTTTCTTTAATACGGTATAATTTGTTATTCATTCATTATCTTTTATACTGTTATTCTAGAGTTGAGGGCTTTTCTTGTACTGGTTTTTCTTGTATGATCTTTAGTTGATAATTTATCCTATTTTCATATTTTCAAGGTCTTTGTTCGATATATGATAGTTTTTTTCCTATTCTGTAGCTTGAATAAAAATTCAAAAAAAAAAAGATGATGATATCCAGAAGATAGTATTCAGGCAATTAAATTCAAACAGCATAATTACTCGAAAGACTTCCTCTAGATTTGAAAAAGAAGACAACATCCGCCGATCGTTTAACTTCTTGTAGATGAGCGTACATACTATTGCTTGTGACTTTTATTTCCAAAACGAACGGCAAGTTACTGTACGATGATGCATGCCTACCAAATACCTGGGATATAATATATTATTTATAGGTAATACATTAGTAGAAATCGTTTGATCAGAAAACATTACCGAATCAAACAGACAAAGAAAGAAAATTGGTAAAATTAGTAAATTGATATTCATCCAAACTAATTCCAGCTGCAAGGTTCCGATGCCTCGTGTAGAGAGTACGTTAAGAACCCTTGCAACAACTTTTTGAGGGGTCCGTAGGTGCCCTTTTGCAAGACAAACTTTCCTTCTCTATCCAACATGCCTTTGTTTTCCAGTGACACTCCGAATTTACCCGGATGGTCTACTATAGGACCTACCTCTTGTATTTATTGTTCATTTGTTCTCGTCCTGAACATGAATGAAATATTTACTATTGGACGTTAAGCAACCAACAATCAATCAATCAACAAATATCACATGAACCCTGCCAGACCAACATGTATACATTACAATAATTCCATACACGAAAAAATAGTTGACCCATTGCTTAAAATATCTAAGAAACAGACTTATACCAAAACAACTTAACATTTGACCAACGAACCATGAAAATGTGGTCAAAGTCTGATGAACCATGCCAGATAGATATGTACACATTGCAATCATTCAATTCACTAAATAAAGTTGACCTATTGCTTAAAGTATCCGAAAAAACAGACCAAAAACTAAACATTGACCAATGAACCATGAAAATGAGGTCAAGGTTTGATGAGACTACCAAACAACAGACATGTACTACTATTCCCTACACCAAATATAGGTAACTTATTTCTTCTAGTATCTGAGAAACAGACCAAAACACAAAACAAAAACTTAATGAACAATGAACCATGATGAAAGCATCATGAATGTTGTGATCCAGCCAATTTGTAGCTAGTCTGACATTTTTTCTGACAATACTTTTCAATATTTTTTTTTATTTTCATTTCCATAATCTCGCAAAAGTTTATAATCTATTGCCCAAAGATGGAGAATTTTGCAATACTGATGCAAATTATTTTTGGTATTTCTATTGAAAACACTGTAAGATTTTTAGAAACATTTGAAATTCAATGATTTTGACAAGAATGTTAAGGGAGATTTTTAAATGTGTAGCATATTTTGTACATGCCATTAATAATAATTGGCTAAATAATTTCCAGAAAGAGGCATTAAAATGCCCTTTCTCAACAACAAAAATAAATAACTAATTTCTATCTAAATTTCCTGTATACAAATATACATGTACAAATACCTTATGCTGAGATAATTCAAATTACTGTTAAATAGCAATTTAATGGGGAATATACAAATAAATGTATTGCAGAAAATGCTTAGGTAAGAGTTATGCAATTGTGTTTATTGTTTCACCAAATTACTGATAGTTGTAACTTAAATAGACCTTAATTATTAACTTATGTCAGATGATTATGACACTGATTTTACAAGTGAAATAAAATGTTGTTGCCTTTTTTATACATATTTTATTTTTAATCTTTTCTTTGAAAAAAAACCACATCTTAATTATTTTAAAATCAGTCAGCTTTCACACAAAATTAACAGAATAATTTTATGTAGTGTTGATCAAAATAAATAATAGGTACACTATTGATGTCAAGATTTTGTGTATTCAGTTAGATATGTAATAAATTGAATACTCAAATTCTTGACCTTAAATCCAGTATGATTATATCAACTGTCATGATATAGTAACTGTAGTCAATTAAGACTGCATTTGAGTGAAGTTGAATCCAATTAATACTTACACCTTTGAGTGTTATTTTTTTGAAAATCGTGACAGTTGTCTATCATACTGGTATTCACTACTTTATCAATACTCTTATTTGCCTAATGAATCAATGGAAATAATAGCATTTTAAAAAAGTGAGGGTATCAACTTTCAGATATCAATACACATTTTGAACCAAACTTTATTCAATGGCTTACAGGAATATAAGATACTGATAAAACACTTTCATTATTCTTATCAATAGTCCATGATTCGTGCATATATTTAAAAGAATTGTGGGTTTGATGATAAAAGCATGAAACTTTGCACAATTGTAAATATATATTTGGTAGTCAATTTAAGCTATGAACCCATTCTGAAAAATTCAATATGGCGGCCATTTTCAAGATGTCTGCCATTCACTCCAAATTTCACAACCATGTAAATAGAGCAAAAAATATATCAAAACCAAATCTTTTAAAAACATATAAAATGTTATCCAACGTTTCTAGTAAGTCATTTCGTTATATTTAACTTTTTAGTTTTTTCAAAATGGCGGAAAATTTCTAAATGGCCGCCAAAAAGTGAAAAAGGAACAAAAATGAGATAAGGCTTTGAAGATATTTATTTCTTCTATCGAATTGCAGTTTTCAGTTCATACAATATTCTAGGGATTGCGTTTCCATGATACATTGATGCTTCTTGAATGGCAATTTAATCAAAGAACCCATAAATGGAAACGTTTGAACGTTTTCAGGAGGCCATCAGAATATGTTTGACCGTTTAGTACCATCTAAGTCACAAATGATAATGGGAATGTTCCACTTCTCCTTGTCATAATCCTTTCTTTTCCCTCGATTGTGGTAACATCAAGATGATAAATACTACTAATCACCGAAATTCTACTTGAAATGAGTAACATCCCGAATGCTACCAGTTGTCCAGAAACTACACACCCTTCCTAAAACCTGTGTTGATCCCTAGTTTTGATGAAAATGGACTTTGGCTTTCAATGTTGAGTTATTTGCTCTTTATTTTTCAATGTCTGCGTTGTCAACAAGTGAAATTCTTGTTTATTCATCGTTTCGGCATGGAAAAACCTTACTTTCATTTCAAACGTTCACCTTCGGTCAAGCTTAGGATTATTTACATAGACTAATGGTTTTTACATGTTTGAAATTTTGTGATTCCAAGGGTTAGAAAAGAGATATTTTAAATCCACTACTAGTATTATAAAATATATATGCCTAATTACTGGATATGACTAATCAATCTATCCAAACAACAGTACCTTCCTTTCTTGAGCCCCTGAGATCATCCTCGGTGGGGTTGGTTATGCTCAATTGTTAGATTTTTGTGTAGTGATTTGCAAAAGCATTTTTTTGTTTGCGTTTTTTTTTCCATGTTCTTAACTGGTTTTGTTTTACTAATGATTTTCTCTATTGTTTTATAATCTAAACAACATATTTTCACAGCAGTTTACAAATGATTCTTAAGGACAGCCCATTCAGTGTTTGCCCCATTCCCCACCACATTTCAAACATGATCGTACATAACATCATTGTCCTTGTCATTTTCATCTGACCTCTGTGATGAATGTCCAATAGGCATATGCCATCCGCATTCACTCGAAGTAGCACTCTGGGTAAAAGACCGAAACATTCCCACACCCAAAGCTTGAGAATGTTGTGTTTTTGCTTTTTTATAAAAACGTTCCTGGTGTAGAACATGTGGCTTACCTGATCAAGTTAAATTACTTCAAAGGTGGATTTAATCTTGTTAATTACTAAGGCCAATTTTGGACAAAATACTTTTAAATGCTGTATTTGTGCGATATTGATAGCCAATCTGATTGCCCTACTTTTTACAAATGTGTAATTCTACTCTTGGGATTAATCTACATTTACCATTTTCAAATTACGAGACACTTAAACTGTATAACCATGGAGAGCCGTGGTGTAGTGGTTAGGGCATCGGACTACTAACACAAAGGTTCCTGGTTAGATCCCCGCTCCGGGGAGTAAATGTCAGGGACTGAATTTTCGGCTCTCCCTTGACACCATTGGCGAGTATGGTCTTCAGAAACGATGATAGTCCGTCGGAAGGGGACGATAAATGGCTGACCCGTGTTAAGAGAGAGTCATATCTATTGCACGTAAAAGACACCTTTGTAGATTTCGAAAAAGAGCTGGCTATAATGCCACAAGGCAGCACTCGCACCCGCAAAGTGGAAAGGGATTAATATAAGTTGCAATTACTTGTTTCCCAATCCACTATAAATAAATATGTTTCAACTAAACTGTATAGTTAAATGGCAGAATATCGCACAGGGGTACTGCAAGCCATAAGTTTAATGTAAAGAACCGATGAATAAGCAGTAATGGAATCTTTGTAAACCTAGAAGGAACATTCTCTTAATTATCTCACATCAAAATGTCCCGTTCAATCTTTAATGTTGCAGACCAGTTGTGGTCAAGGTCGCTTTATCAGTTTATATTTCCCCCTTCATTACTCCATTTTTTCAAAGTTACAAAGTTCTCACAAGGGTCTCGTTCCTCAGTAAAAAATCAGGATCTTTTGCATAAGAATGAGAAGTACACCTACTGTAACCTCATGGAAATGTCTTGTTTGTGATGCATGAGAGCCTCTTAAAAGACTCTGCTATTCAATAAGAACTTTGTTTCACTTGTTCAACCACTGTTTCTAACCGATCACATCAGGTTCTGAAAGATGCAATTTCTATATAAGGACCTTAAACAAAAATATTTTTTCTGCTCGAAATATGTTTGGCCAGTTCCACTGTTCCGATTTTGAAAAAGCAATAAAACAATTGATAACAAGTGATAATTGATACATGTCTCGGAAAAAATTGACACATTGCTGGATTATATTCATGGAATGTCGAATCTTTGTAACAAGTATGATCTCTTTTTGTAACATTGGTCAATGCTGTCTGATTAGTAAAGGTTGATGACCATTTGTCTTGGCTCTACATGCTTGGAATGCTGTTCAGACATATTGAACGTTTTCATAATAATCGTCTTAAAGCCATTTGTGCTATCATTTTGTTAACTTATTTATACCATGCAACGATAGTGTTGCACAATTGAGTAATTATACAAGGTTGACATACATCTATTTCTGGTAAGACAATTGACAGAGTGCGTGTCCATAAAACGGTCATTATTAGATGTAAGTATGAAACGCATGCATTTCAAAGCAAAAGATTATGACGAATTTGACAAGTTCGACTAAGAAAATGCTGAAATATTGAAATTGTACTATGGAACGATTCGTTAGCCGTAGTTAAACTCTTGTTGTTGTCAATAGTGTCCACGGCTGATGTTGTAAAACCACATATTTAATGTTGAATTTTTCATAAATGGAATGTTCTAGTACTGTAGATAAATGGATAGTTAGATCATTCATAAACGACAAACGTAGACTGTACATTTTGTCATATAGTACCTCCTCCTTTCTGTGTGCTAGCATCCAGCAGAAGGCCTACACACATAATTAGATGGTTTTAATTCAGTTTAATGTAATGTTAAAGAATAATATATAAATAACTTTGAAATGGATAATGTCATATTTGCCTGAATGGAATATTTGCCTTAATGGAATATCTCCACTGCATCTGAATATTTGGCCAAACCATTATTAACTAATGTTTCTAGTGGCTGTTGAAAGGACTTTGGCCTACATTCTGTCTTCCTGTACTACCTGATAGTGCAGGGTTTTTAAGTATCATCGTTATACAAACAAATTGTTGTGGTTGCTTGTTGAATTGCAAAATCGAAATATTCACTACACAGAAGACGCAAGCACGGCCGGCCTGCCTTGGTTTTGGCCTGTTAAGCCTGATATTACTGCTTGTTTTAGATCCGTAACTAATTACAATGTCCTCTACCACTTGATAACAAAGAAAACTGTTCGACCCGAGAAGTATATATTCTAGTTAAGTTTAACCTAAATACAAGAATTACACCAGTGCCTATACGTGATAAACTTTTTTTGCAAGAACGGTACCGTAGTTACGATTTTTCCTTACTTTTCGCACAAATCATTTTATGTCTGGCTTTAGTAAATAAATGTGGCATGCACTTGGTGTTATAAAGCACTTAGCTTTACTCAATTTACGTCAGAACAACACACTTTGTAACCTTGTAAGAGAATTTTGTCGATTTTGATATCTTTTGGCGGCCATCTTGGAAAAATCTGCCATATTGAAATTTCGAGTTGGGTCCATAGCTTATACTGTTCGAAGCACCCAGTAATTACTATCATGACAAATTTGAACTTATATAAGTGATATTTGTTGCTTTTGATATTTTGTGGCGGCCATCTTGGAAAAATCCGCCATATTGAATTTTCATCGTTGGTTCAAAGCTAACATTTTTCGAAACAACTAGCACTACTGCCAGGTCAAATTTGACCATAAATTTGACCTTGTATAAGTGATATATATCTTGATTTTGATTTTTTATGGCGGCCATCTTGGAAAAGGCCGCCATTTTGAAATTTTCAGGTGGGTCCATAGCTAATATTATTTGAAACACCAAGAACTACTACCATGCCAAATTTGGTGCTTTTATCATCAAACCCACAACTTTTTCACCGATCTGCCGGACTACAACTGCTTAATTTTGATAAATCACCTTTTCCACATTAATTGATAAATGGCAATTTAATTTAAATTTTGATTTACAAAGGAACTATATGCAAGTGTATATCTAAAATAAAGAGTTGTTTGCCCAACTTTTTCTTAATTCAAGGACAAATAACATATCAAAAGTTGACAGTTGAAGATTAAAATGGTGTATAAAGATCTATAAAGATTCTGCAAGTCATAGAAACACATAATAATTTTCATATGTCTTCAACTTAGAACTCCAAATCCGGAGTGATCACATAGATCCAGCATGGCTGAATCAAAAATGAGGTCATTGTCAGATGAAACCTGCAATTGCAATTGAATAAATTGCTTTAACATGTAAGTTTTGCAAATATTCAAAGCCAATAAACCATGACTGAGGTACATGGCTAAACAATCTCCATGGAAATAAGATGTGCCAATGCTAATACATTTGCACAACTGTATACCAAATACCATTGACTTATTATAAGTCCTTCCCTTTAAACAAACCTAAACACAAACATTAACTTGTAAACCATGTAAAAGTTTCAAAGTCAATGAACCATGAAGAGGGGTAGGGCTATATAATCTCTATGGAAACGATACTTGCAAATGCCAATAAATTTGCATACCAAATATCATTGACTTGACATAAGTTCATCTTAAACTGATCTAATCACAAACTAATACATGTAAACTAAGCAAAAGTTTCAAAGTCAATAGACCATGACTGAGGGGGTGGGGCCAAATATTCTACATGGAAATGAGATGTGCCAATTCTAATACAACTGCATAACAAATATGATTGACCTACCACTTGTGGTTCATCATAAACTAGACCTAATCATAAACTAATACATGTAAACTAAGCAAAAGTTTCAAAGTCAATAGACCATGACTGAGGGGGCAAGGCCAAATAATCTCCATGGAAATGAGATGTGCCAATGCTAATACAACTGCATACCAAATATGATTGACCTACCACTTGTGGTTCCCCTTGAACTGACATAATCACAAACTAGTACATGTTAACTAAGCCAAATTTTCAAAGTCAATAGACCATGACAAAGGGGGCGGAGCCAAATAATCTCCATGGAAATGAGATATGCCAATGCTTATACAACTGCATACCAAATATGATTGACCTACCACTAGTGGTTCCCCATAAACTGACCTAATCACAAACTAATACATGTTGACTAAGCAAAAGTTTCGAAGTCAATAGACCATGACTGAGGGGGCAGGGCCAAATAATCTCCATGGAAATGAGATGTGCCAATGCTAATACAATTGCATATTAAATATGATTGACCTACCACTTGTGGTTCACCATAAACTAGAACTTATCACAAACTAATACATTGTTGACTCCGCCGCAGACGCCGGAAACAACATACCTATGTCTCACTTGTTGACTCGTCAAGGCGAGACAAAAATCACCATTCAAGAACAATTACTTCTGTAAGAAGTCAAAAGATGATTTCAGCCATCAAAGATCATCTTAAACTGTATGCCACACATTGTCTTGAGGTGCTGCACCAATGTGCCAAATATCAAAACCTATGTCTTAAAACACATTCATAGCAAAATCTTGTCAATGCAAATAGATAAGAAAATTAGAATAAAAAAAAACATTATGTCTTCCTTGGTCCAATAGGAGACATAAATATATTTTTCATTATGGATTAATTCAAATCTAAACATTTCAGTCATTTGCCAAAGACAATTTTAGGAAACAACTTATAACTGTTGATTGATAAATTTGCATACTAACTCTCAACAGACATCCATTTACTGTTGCAGCTTCCAAACAACATAAACATAAAAATAAGATGATTTGACTTAATGTTAGTACCAACAAACTGATACAGACCTAAAAAGTATGTATCTGGCTTTCCCAACTATGAGTCCCAAACTGATGAAGGTTATTACAGACTTTTCATGTATACTGAAATATGTATAAACTTTTTATACTTTAATCATAATATAATTTCAAATGTACAAAATACGTTATATGCGTAAGAATATAAACATTCTTATATGTACATATATACAAATTTCTTTGCAATTTACATTATCCGAACATAATATATACATGTTTTTTTTTATATCAAAAGAAAAAGTAACGTTCAAAGTCTCCCTTCTGACTACATCCCAACCAAAATAGTAGGTCTAATAACTGTCTCCTATCATCTGCTACCATAATATTATATGATCTGGTGTACTGTATAAACGATTTAAAGTTGTCAGTGTTTTTATTTATTAGCCAAGCTTCATAGTGTTCCAAATCAGCCTCCAGTAACATGAAAATGACCTGAAAGTAACATAATGTAAAAGAAATAATTAGAGACTACATTAGAATATTGATATTGGAAAAAAAAATAATCCCTTACTTTGGTGATGAGTGTGTTAAGTTATCTACAAGTTTTCTTATCCTGCATCATATGTCCAATTGTGCAAATATAACCAAATAAACCATTGGACACTATTCAATTCAAAATATAACCATGAATTAATGTGTGGGACAAAAGAAAACGACTGAAGTATCAAAATGCACATAAATATTGAAAGAAAATAATCTATGATGAATAACCTAAATGATTAGTTTTGATTAACAACACATATCATAATTTTTTTCCATGTTTATTATATATATCTGTTCTACTTTTGTTTTCTATATTTTGTTTATATTGGTAGATAAAAATGAATGTAAAAAAAAATAAACTTCATTGATACTGGTATTTTGTATTCATTGAAATTAAAGAGACTATGGAATATGGAATGTTTTATCGATGTTAAATTTAAAGAGAAAATATTGAAACTCATAACTATAAATTCAAACAGTATAATTGACTCTTTCAATGTTTTCAGAAAATAAGGAGATAAAAAAAGTTGATTTCATGAATATTTAATTTGTATTTTATTTTTCCCAGATACAGATTTAGTTTAATTGAAAATGTTGCTTTATAAAGTCCTGCTGAAACACAGACAGGCATTTCATTCAGATTAAAAAAAAAAAAAAACCCTAGCAATATATAACTCAAAACTTAAGGCAAAATTTGTAATCTATTGAATGTCAGTAAAAGCATATAGGTAAAACTTCACGATCTTTGTTTGGATCATTCATTCTTTCTGTGTCAAGCTAAGTAGTTAATCCAAATCTTTTGAAAACAAAGCAAATAACATGTGATATACATTTTGTGTGTCCGAAAAGCTTTTCTGGATTTACCTTTATCAGGCAAGAAATCTCGTTTTAAACTTTGAATTGATCAAATCAATCACATGTAACAATTACACGGTGAAAATTAAAAAGATATTTTGTAACAATTACAAGGTGAAAATTAAAAAGATATTCTGTACGGTATTTGAATACTCTCTCCTGTAGAAAAAGTATTGTTCTAATGGACCTTGGTAACTAGCACAAAACTTTTCATCCATTGTTTTAAGTTGGTCATTTGAGATCTAACGCACAGATCCATATTCTTACTTATATGGATCATTTAAAAAAATGTCGAATTTTAAAATTTTAAAATTGAAAAAAATAAATAGTCATAGACTGTTATCACAGAGATATGTCTCGCCTTTTTTGTAATTTTGATAATGCAAATGTTGAAATTAAAATAGCAATACTTTAACATGTAAGTTATGCAAATCTTCAAAGTCAATGAACCATGACTGAAGGTACATGGCTAAACAATCTCCATGGAAATGAAATGTGCCAATGCTAATACAACTGCATACCAAATACCATTAACTTATCATAAGTCTTTCCCTTTAAACAAACCTAAACATAAACATTAACTTGTAAACTATGTAAAAAATTCAAAGTCAATGAACCATGATGAAGGGGTGGGGCTATATAATCTCAATGGAAATGAGACTTGCAAATGCCAATAAATTTGCATACCAAATATCATTGACTTAACATTAGCAGTTCATCTTAAACTGATTTTATCACAAACTAATACATGTTAACCAAGCAAAAGTTTCAAAGTCAATAGAACATTACTGAGGGGGCTGGACCATATATTCTCTATGGAAATGAGATGTACTAATGCTTATACAGCTGCATACCAATTAACATTGGCCTACCACTAATGGTTCCCCTTGAACTGACCTAATCACAAACTAATACATGTAAACTAAGCAAAAGTTTCAAAGTCAATAGACCATGACTGAGGGGGCCGAACCAATTAATCTCCATGGAAATGAGATATGCCAATGCTTATACAACTGCATACCAAATATCATTGACCTACTACTAGTAGTTCCACATAAACTGACCTAATCACAAACTAATACTTGAAAACTAAGCAAAAGTTTCAAAGTCAATAGACAATGACTGAGGGGGCGGGGCCAAATAATCTCCATGGAAATCAGATATGCCAATGCTTATACAACTACATAACAAATATCATTAACTTACCACTAGTGGTTCCCCATAAGCTGACCTAATCACAAACTAATACATGTAAACTAAGCAAAGTTTCAAAGTCAATAGATCATAACTGAAGGGGCGGGGCCAAATAATCTCTATGGTAATGAGATGTGCCAATGCTAATACAACTGCATACCAAATATCATTGACCTACCAATATCAGTTCACCATAAACTAGACCTAATCACAAACTAATACATTGTTGATGCATCCGCCGCGGGAAACAGCATACCTATGTCTCACTTATTGACTCTGTCAAGGCGAGACAAAAACCATCCACTTTATAATCAAATCAAAACAGACAATATTTTAGGGGTAACATATAACAAATGCAATCTTAATAATGGGATACTGGATTATAATGAGGCATTTTTTGATAAGTGGTGCAATATTTTGTCTCTCTTGTTAATGGTTTGGATAAAATCTTAAGCTTGTTTTTTCAAGGCCAATAAGATGGTTTTCAAGAACAAACTTATATTCTTTCTCTGTATTGATAGATTGCTTGTCAATTTTCCATGTTGAACTGAAAAATACCTCTAAAAATTGGTTTTCAAAGTTTATAAAAATAACTACCATGAATGTATTAAATGCCTTAGATGCAATTCATAATGTTCAGTATTTTAATTTTTTTTTTGATAAACCAAGTATTTTCCACGCATATTGTTTTACTTTTGTCTTTTGTTTTTTTAACAGGAACGTATATTAGCGATATATCACCTTATTAAGTTCTATCCTGTTACCCATTTTGTCTCTCCTGTTACCGATAGCAGTATTGTATTTTGTGTACTAAATTTTCTTTAAGAAAGATAAAGAATTTGTTATCCCAGTCTTTGGTTTTCTATGTTGTGTTTTGTATGCAGTTTTGTCTTTTCGTAGGTTTTTTTTTTTGCCATGTAATTTTATTTGGGTTTGAATGACCCTTGGGTATCATTCGCCTCTCTTTTATGAATGCTGTCATGAAATAACTACTCCTTGTTATGAAGTGATTATATTTTTCTTCAGTAGTTTTGGTTTCCAACACGTAACTACAATTTTTAGAAGTATAATATTGTTGTCATTAATAAATTTGCATAGACAGGATAAAAGGGTACGCATTTATTTTTCTCACTAAATGTATTAAACTTTCTTTTCTCTACTTATTTATGCAAGAAACTTACTGTGTTCAATTTTCAAGATGCTTTGTGCTTTAGAAATCATCACTTTATAGTTCGACATTCATAGGGAGAAACTATTTAACCATGTTAACCGTTGATCTAAATATAATATATATCAGTAACAGGAAAGACATCAAAATATATCTTAGTTGTGTTTACTATAATAAAAAATAATTGATGTTTAGATTCATAAATCTTACAAACTTTCATTTAAACACCTGCAAATGCATTTTCCATCTACAATTTTTTTTTCAAACATAGGTGTACTGAAAATTCAACATTTACAAAAAAATGACCATATATAATGTATAATGTATCCAGGGTTTTAGCTAGGATTTTGAGGGCTTTAGTCACTTTTGCGCGGGTTGAAAATCAATCTTATTTTGGGTAGCAGCACGGGACCTAGGATGTATATTACTATCTATACATCTTTGTCAGACTTTGAAGCACTTAGGCATACTAGGCAGTTACTGCATTATTTGACTGATGTGGCACTTTAATACGAAGATTAGGATATAAGATCTAGAAATCTAGTTCACAATTTCACTTCAGTTATTTTGGGATCCATTTCTTGTTAAACCAGGAATCACAGCATAAATGAACTTGTAAGAACTATTTCACTGCATTATTCATACTCATTATCCTTTAAAATGTTTTAAAGCGATATTTAGAATTAATTCTATAAAGTTGGAACGAAGGATTTGTACAAATCCTTAATGGAACAATTCTAATAACTTTAAATTGTAAATTTATCATGAATAGATCACGTTTACTTTCGATTTCCAAATGAAATGAAAACGGGAAGTGACAAGTGGATAATAAATTCACAATGAATCCGGATTCATCTACGGATTGGTTCGTGTTTAAAAAAGGCAGGAAATTATCATTTTTTTTAATTAAATTTGATAAATAAGAACTATATTTGTCTCTCTTGTTTAGTTTGATACTTAATTATTTAGTATTTTACGTTTTAGTGGCTTTAAATTCATAATAATACTTTCGCGCATGCGCAGTTCATTGTAAAGGAAGCACCTGTTTGACTCGTGAAAACATTTCTGAATGTTATGAATAAAGTTCTATCTTTTTAATCGAAATTGTCGAAAGTTTTTAATTAAAGGTTATATCAAATATGACGAAAATACGTTCATTTGACGAAACTACGACAAGCGAACTACAAATTGTGATAGTTTGATAAATATTGAAATTAAAATGCGAACTGTCCGAGGGAAAACTCAAATGACGAAACTAAGACAAACGAACTGCAAATTGTGCTCGTTTGATAAATATTGAAATTGAAATGCCGACTGACTGATTTTACTGGGGAAAATAATTATGATGATCAATTGTGAGGTTGATAAATAATTAACGGATTAGTGACCCATCCGATGGCGATAAGCGGATTATCTGTAATCACAACTTCAAGTAACACCTGTTGTAAATGTTATTTAGCGGAGGGTCATAAACTTGTCAGAAACAATAAGACAGGTAGAATTATAGTATTTTCATGCGAAAATATTTTTACTCTTTCCAAATTTAAGTGACGAAATTGATTTGGAATACTTTCGTCATTTTGAAAACTGGTTCGTAAATGACGAAAATGACGAGCGCTAGCAAAATCACTGATGTATCACACAGTTGTCCAGCATTGTCGTAGATGTTTGTGATTGTTCATTAAGTTGAGTTTTAGTTTTCACCCTCAATAATATGCCATTTATGTGTATATAAATTTGGTCTTTGTACGTAATGCATCAGTTGTTTTTCACAAAGGTTAAGTGCTTCAAGATACAAAAAACAATAACAGAAAATAGTTCAAAAATACAACATGTAGAAACAAACATTGATTTACATAACATATGGAATTTTAAAGTTACCTCAGTCCTCATACAAACAACTGCAAGAGTACTTGGAGCAAATGTTGAGTTCCAAATGTCAGACATTAGTTGGAGCCCTATCGGTTCTAGTATACATTTGTCCAAATATCCCTCTATCCAAGGAGTAGCTGAATCCTTGTCACCATCTGTCTGACTTAAACCATTGTTTTTAACCTTAATAAAACAGTAAAAAGTTCAGGTTGATTACACAAATGGGGCATTTCAAGGAGTTTTTATTAGGTAATTACAAAGCTTATTACTGTATTTTTTAATATAACATCACAGGGGTGTAGCTAGGGCAACATGATGTGTACTCAATGCCGGAGGAGGAAGTCATACGGCAGGGGGTTTGGGGGCTTCTTAAGGCCCCCAGAAGCTCTGGGATAAATGGTGCAAAATCCTGCATTCTTGCAATTTCCTGGGACTTAAAATGACCTCACCGAAATCTTATTTTCATGAGTAACAAGTCAACTTATGAATTTCAAAAAAAATATTAATCAGAGACAAACAAACAAATACTGTTGGCTTAGAAATTTAGTTTTTCTAATGTGTATCGGGTTGAGCTTGATTGAATTGAATCAAAAATAAAATTTGTTGCTAGTTAGTTAAGTTTAAAAAGGGTGGTAAAGGTGGGGGGACTTGTATGGAAAAAAAAGTTTAATGCAAAGAAAGAATAACCATTTGCATGATAAACAATGTACGATAACGAATGCATATCATAGGTTGGAAACATTTAACTGGCCAGTATATATATATATATATATATATATACGTTTGAAGTCCCGAAATCTACAAGGAAAAGGATAAAATTATTTGTGATTTTTTTTTATTAGCTTGTCTTCCAAAACGAGAGTCTTTTAATTTTACCAAGCATGGAAAACAAGCACTTTAAATCTTGAAGCACGTATAATTAAATTGGGGGAACACGTTGAACGAGGCACCGTCTTGCACGACTGAACGTAAAATAAAATAAACAGCTGCGCCATGAGCGCATGATACTCCCGTCGTCTTGTGTGTGAATTTTTATGCAATAAGCATAAATAGTTTCTGACATCATCGTGACATGCGAAAACCCCCCTTTTTTTTTTTACAAAAAACTCAATATCTCTAAAATAAAATTTTGAATCAAAACCAAAAAGTATACAGATCTTTAGATTAATATAACTAAGAAGTGTGTAAAATTTTAAGCAATAATCATAAATCGTTTTTGAGATACAGCGCGACATGTGAAAAACCCCCCTTTTAAAAAAAAAAAAAATCAATATCTCAAAAATAAAATTTTGAATCAAAACCAAAAAGTATACAGATCTTTACATTAATATAACTAAGAAGTGTTTAAAATTTTAAGCAATAATCATAAACTGTTTTTGAGATACGGCGCGACATGTGAAAAACCCCTCCCCCTTTTTTTACAAAATACTCAATAACTCAAAAATAAAATTTTGAATCATCACCAAAAAGTATACAGATCTTAAGGTTAATATAACTAAGAACTATGTAAAGTTTTAAGCAATAATCATAAACTGTTTTTGAGATACGGCGCGACATGTGAAAAACCCCTCCCCCTTTTTTAACAAAATACTAAATATCTCTAAAATAAAATTTGGAATCATCACCAAAAAGTATACAGATCTTAAGATTAATATAACTAAGAAGTGTGTAAAGTTTTAAGCAATAATCATAAATTGTTTTTGAGATACGGCGCTACATGTGAAAAAAAACACACACCTGTTTTAGTTACGAAGTCCTGTAACTCAAAAAGTTTTAATCTTATTTTCACCAAAAAGTATACAGATCGTTTGACCATCATAAGAAACAACTATGTTTAGTTTCATGAAATTTGGATAAGTCATTCTCAAGTTACGGTGCGACAGACAGACAGACGGACAGAAGGACAGACAGACAGACAGACAGACAGACTGACAGACGGACGGACGCTGGACATTTGTATACCATAATACGTCCCGTCAAAAATTTTACGGGCGTATAAAAAGTCAAAACATGTAGATCGTCAAATAAAAAAACGACTCACACATTGTACGAAAATTACCCTTTACCACCCCCCCTAAACTTTAAGTTTGACTGGACTGTTTAAAAAAAAATCTGTTATGACAACGTATGTAAAAGAGAAGCAAAGGATATCAAAGGGCCTTTCAAACTCATAAGTCGAAAATAAACTGACAACGCCATGGTTAAAAAAGAAAAAGACAAACAGACAAACAACGTTAACAGTACACAAAACACAACATAGAATTCTAAAGACTGAGCAACACAAACCCCACCAAAAACTGGGGGTGATCTCAGGTGCTCCGGATGGGTAAGTAGATCCTGCTCCATGTGTGTAATTAAGACTATACATACCTCACAGGAAAGTAAAAAGAATGGATCGTTGTCCATGGTCTCTTTCGAAAATCATATCTTATTTCATTAATTATTTGAAATCTTCAGAAAAGATGTCAGGACTGGGTTAGGAGGCATAGAGTTTAATGACACCCTGAGGACTGAGCCATTCTAATTTTTTGCATCAGCAACATAATTATGATGCTGCTTCCGTAAATAAATGAGTAGTTTCAGGAACAGCATATAGCTACAAAGTGATTATTAACATGTTTGTTCAATTCTTTTTGATTTAGTTTATTACTTTAGTTTAAATCTTACTAGATTTGCCATATTTTTTTTTGGTCAAATTTTCGATGTGAATGCAACTGCGTTTTTGCGTACGGTTTGCTATCCGCTTGCATCCATTCTAATATGATGACCTATATATCGTCAACCAGTATAATCACAATATATCTATTTTTAGCCCAGACGCATAGATACACAAAATTCTGTTCTGCGTTATGCCCATCTTATTTATACGACCAGGTAAACTCAATTTTTGACAGTAAATCCCACATTTTACGTAGGCCAAGCTTCGCATACAATGAAGTTATCTCTATTCTGATGAAAAATAAACACATCGGTCCATTTCAGTTACTATTCCGATGTAAAATGTCATAAAATGAAAATTCCGTGAAATGATGTTTTCATCTTTGGCAACTAAACAAGGTGACGTCATATGTATGCTTCTGGCGTCAAATGTTAACGGGGCGTTTTAAGGCTTTTTGTATGCCTCAGAATGTAATAAAATAACAAAAAAAGAACAAATTTAGGTGAAGAATGTGAGTTTTTTCATTTATAGTTGAATAATATCATATCGTAAATATTATTATATGTGGGGTAAAACAGAACAGCCAAAACGCTGCATCGTGTGTATAGGGCTTTCATGGTTGACAAAATTACAGAATTTGTCCTATTAGAATCGAAATAATAATTTCAGACTATCTAATTTCAAAGCAGCTGTCAATTGCACAGTGCTTGTCTCAAGAAAAATTTTAATTAAAGGACAACCCTTAAGATATCTTCTTTTAGTAAACTTTTTATGCTGATATTTTTCTCTCATTGTTTTAATACATTTACAACAGATTCCTTCTTATCTTATGCATCTATTCACAACTTCTCTAGACTCAGCACAAATTAAGAGCTTAACAGACATGTACATGTTTCCATTTGTCCTGCCTTGAAAACTGTATAATAATCTCTGAATGTTTAATTTGGTTAACTTATTTGGCGGCATTGTGTCCAAGGTTATGGTTGTCTTTTTGATATTGTTTTACATCTAACCCCCTTGTTTTATTAATTTTGTATTTACATTGTGTCCTAGATCGAATTTATTCATTTAGTGTATGTTCACTTGTTTTTGTTAATATGTCTTTGGATTGAGTTAAGCCATTTCAATTGATATTTATAGTGTAACTTTCTATGTTGTGATGTTACACTATTGTTTCAGGTAGGGTGAAGGTTGGCGCCTATTAAAATGTTTAAACCCGCTGCATTTGTTTGCACTCGCCTAAGTCAAGAACCTGATGTTTAGTGGTTGTAGTTTGTTGATGTGGTTCATAAATGTGTCTCGTTTCGCGTTTTTTTTTTATATAGATTAGACTGTTGGTTTTCCTGTTTGAATGGTTTTACACTAGTCATTTTTGGGGCCCTTTATAGCTTGCTGTTCGGTGTGAGCCAAGGCTCTGTGTTGAAGGCTGTACTTTGACCTATAATGGTTTACTTTTACAAATTGTGACTTGGATGGAGAGTTATATCTCATTGGCACTCATACCACATCTTCTTATATCTATTGTGTTGTTTGGTTAACTGCCTCAGTGACATTTACCCAACATCTCTTCATGTTCATTTACATATCTAAAATTAACATTGTACAAACCTCTACCAACAACATCAATAAATGAGGTGATCCAGCTTTAGTTTCATGCTGATAAAATCTTACATCAGATATATAACCAACAGTTTTATTTCTTATTTTTAAACATTTTTTGCTAGCTTCCCCAACTCTGAAATGAAAAAGTCAACATGTTATTTAATTAGAATATTTGCAAATGAGAAAGCTAAAACAATATACATGTGTAACATGATATACTAGTATGTTAAATTGGAAAAATTGATATCCTTAATGGAGATCTTGATAAATCTTACTTAGTTGACATTCATTAAATACATGTAGCACAGTTTAAGGAGTAAAATCAGACAGGGTAATATGTCAAAGAAAAAGAAAATAAATGACAAAAATAACCAAAAGACATCTGGAGGGTGACAAACAATCTTGAACAATAATCAGTTGCCTATACAATATTTTAAGTAATTAATTGTTTCTAGTCTATAACCTCTGGATGTTAAGCAAGCAACAATCACTCAATTTAGTCTCTAATATAAAGTTCTGAGCAGAATGTGTTTCAGTATCATTCATCAATAAAATGCTTCGCTGGGCGCAGCTTGATACGACTGCAGAGGTCAAACCCTGAACAGTTGGGGCAAGTATGGACACAACATTCAAGCTTGATACAGCTCTGAATTTGGATTGTGATTAAATATTTGACACAGCATAGGTTTCTGACACAGAAAGAATGTGGTCAAAGAACTTGATTTTTTTTAATTTACCTATTATGGTCCAATGTCCAAAATCAAAATACATGGTTAGATTCAGCATATCAAAGAACCCCATATATATAATTTCTGTTGAAATCAAACAAAGTTTAATTTTGGACCCCAACTTGGACAAACTTGAAAACTGGGCCCATAATCAAAAATCTAAACACATGTTTAGATTCAGCATATCATAGAACCCCAAGAATTCAATTTTTGTTAAAATTAAACTAAGTTTAATTTTGGACCCTTTGGACCTTAATGTAGACCAATTTAAAAAACAGGACCCAAAATTAAAAATCTAAATACACGGTTAGATTTGGAATATCAAAGAACCCCAATAATTCAATTTTTGATGAAATCAAACAAAGTTTAATTTTGGACCCTTTTGACCTCAATATGAACCAATTTGATAGCGGGGCCCACAAATAAAAAATCTAAATACATGGTTAGATTCAGCATATCAAAGAACCCCATATATTCAATTTTTGTTGAAATAAAAAAAAGTTTAATTTTGGACCCCAACTTGGACAAACTTGAAAACTGGGCCCATAATCAAAAATCTAAACACATGTTTAGATTCAGCATATCAAAGAACCCCAAGAATTCAATTTTTGTTAAAATTAAACTAAGTTTAATTAAACTAAGTTTAATTTTGGACCCTTTGGACCTTAATGTAGACCAATTTAAAAAACGGGACCCAAAATTAAAAATCAAAAAACACGGTTAGATTTGGCATATCAAAGAACCCCAATAATTCAATTTTTGATGAAATCAAACAAAGTTTAATTTTGGACCCTTTTGACCTCAATTTGAACCAATTTGATAACGGGCCCACAAATAAAAAATCTAAATACATGGTTAGATTCAGCATATCAAAGAACCCCATATATTCAATTTATGTTGAAATCAAACAAAGTTTAATTTTGGACCCTAATTTGGACCAACTTGAAAACTGGGCCAAAAATCTAAAATCTAATTACATGTTTAGATTCATCATATCAAAGAACCCTATATATTCAATTTTTGTTGAAATCAAACAAAGTTTAATTTTGGACCCCAACTTGGACAAACTTGAATTCTGGGCCCATAATCAAAAATCTAAACACATGTTTAGATTCAGCATATCAAAGAACCCCAAGAATTCAATTTTTGTTAAAATCAAACTAAGTTTAATTTTGGACCCTTTGGACCTTAATGTAGACCAATTTAAAAAACAGGACCCAAAATTAAAAATCTAAATACACGGTTAGATTTGGCATATCAAAGAACCCCAATAATTCAATTTTTGATGAAATCAAACAAAGTTTAATTTTGGACCCTTTTGACCTCAATATGAACCAATTTGATAGCAGGGTCCACAAATAAAAAATCTAAATACATGGTTATATTCAGCATATCAAAGAACCCCATATATTCAATTTTTGTTGAAATCAAACAAAGTTTAATTTTGGACCCCAATTTGGACCAACTTGAAAACGAGGCCAAAAAAAATCAAAAATCTAAATACATAAAATTGAGAATGGAAATGGGGAATGTGTCAAAGAGACAACAACCCGACCATAGAACAGACAACAGCAGAAGGTCACCAACAGGTCTTCAATGCAGCGAGAAATTCCCGCACCCGGAGGTGTCCTTCAGCTGGCCCCTAAACAAATATATATACTAGTTCAGTGATAATGAACGCCATACTAAACTCCAAATTGTACACAAGAAACTAAAATTAAAAATAATACAAGACTAACAAAGGCTAGAGGCTCCTGACTTGGGACAGGCGCAAAAATGCGGCGGGGTTAAACATGTTTATGAGATCTCAACCCTCCCCCTATACCTCTAGCCAATGTAGAAAAGTAAACGCATAACAATACGCACATTAAAATTCAGTTCAAGAGAAGTCCGAGTCTGATGTCAGAAGATGTAACCAAAGAAAATAAACAAAATGACAATAATACATAAATAACAACAGACTACTAGCAGTTAACTGACATGCCAGCTCCAGACTTCAATTAAACTGATTGAAAGATTATGCCTTCATCATATGAATATCAGGCACAATCCTTCCCGTTAGGGGTTTAGTATCATACCATCATAACATATATGAGAAGAACATAACCCGTGTCATGCCAACAACTGGTTTTTTAATAAATGTGTTAAGTGCAATATTAACGCCAAAATATGCAATCTTTAATGACCTGACAACAGTATCGTAACTATATCCCTTCTTAATAAGTCTATTTAAAGGTTTTGTTAGCTTCAGAGGTGAATACTGACATTTTTGTGCTTTATAAAGAATATTTCCATAAAAAATTGGATGTGAAATACCTGAACGTATAAGCAGTCTGCATGTTGAGCTATATTAACGAATGATGTCCTTATACCGATGATAAAATTTAGTAAATGTTTTGCCTAGTTTGTGATATCGAAAACCCTGGTGTAATAATTGTTTAGATTCAGCATAACAAAGAACCCCATATATTCAATTTTTGTTAAAATCAAACAAAGTTTAATTTTGGACCCTTTGGACCTTAATGTAGACCGATTTGAAAACTGGACCCAAAATTAAAAATCTAAATGCACGGTTAGATTCGGCATGACAAATAAATAAATGTGGTCAAAGATTTTACAAATCTAATGCACCATACTGTGCAATTAAAGATTACTTCTTGAAATTTTTCAATATTTGAAATTTGAAAAAAAATAATATTTGAAGAATAATTCTTTTTAATTTCTGAAATCTGAAATGAGAAAAAATTTACCCCCCACAATTTCTTTTTACCCCCCCCCCCCCCCTTTTTTCCCCAAAAAAATTCTTTCCCTCAAGATATAGACATAATCTCAATTCAAATTTCCAATGGAGTTTGCAACCATAATTACCCATTTAAATTTACCATAGTCCTTAATATATTTTATAATAGAATTTAAAATATAGTGTCAAATCTTTCATATGGATTTTTTTGTAAAAAAAAAGATGCAATATTTGCAGATATTTTTACTGGTCTTACTTTTTAAATATGCATTTCTTTAAACATAATTTAAAAACAGTGTAAGGGAAGTAACCAAAACGTTGTATTTGGATTACCTCCCTTACACTGTTTTAAATTATCTTAATTGTTCATTAACCATTACTTTATACATAATTTAAAAGCAGTGTAAGGGAGATAATTTCAATGATGTATTTGATTTATCTCCCTTACACTGCTTTAAATTATGTTTTGTACTAAAGTATTTGTCTATTAACCAGGACAACCTTGTTTTTCCCCCTTTTTTGCCCCTAATTCCTAAACAGTTTGAGCCATAACCCCCCAAAGCAAATCCTAACCATCCCTTTGTGGTATGGAAACTTGTAGTATAATTTCAGAGAGATCCATACACTGTTCCACAGTTGTGCTTATTTTTGGCCCCTTTTTTGCCCCTAATTCCTTAACTGTTGGTACCATAACCCCCAAAATCAATCCCCACCTTCCTTTTGTGGTATTGAACCTTATGGTAAAATTTCAAAGAGATCCATTCACTTAAACTAAAGTTAGAGTGCGAAAACCAATGTGTCTTCGGACGACGACGCCCGACTACGACGACGCCCGACGACGACGACGCCGACTCAAACGTCATACCAATATATGACTGCAAAATTTTTGCGGTCGTATAAAAAGACACTCATCTCAAGTTGAGTTGACATTGAGTTATGCAGAGGAGAGTGGCCATTCTCTTTCTTTTTTCTTTCAGTTAAACAATCTATATTTCAATTTCCCATGTGATCACAAAAAGAAGTAAATGCCAAACATTACGGAATAACTTAAAGTTCATTAAATATTCTTTGCAAACTGCATAAACACACCATTTAATTATTATATAACGGTCAAGGTATATATAAAGCTGATTTGTTAAAAAATATATATCATATGTATTTAAATTTTTTTTTCAATTTGCCAATTATTTTTTTGTACGTGTATCTAATAATTTACTTTAATCATTCCATTTTTATCAAAATTAGAAACTTTTTATAGGATCCAGTCACATAATTATAATAATTAATAATATTCACTTTTTCTTAAAACATTTATTATGATCATAAAGTTCAAAGGATTTCAAACTCCATTTTGTAGTCAATGACGTGTAAAATATTTGAATTGGCTACATTGTTTTTGATGAAAATGTGTTTGGAACAGATTAAGGTAAAACTTAAAACAAAAGTAACTAAAAACAAGCTTAGGGTAATTCAAACATTGTTCTAAAATACAGTACCTACTCTGGATTGAGAAAACATATCTGTGCAAACTTGAGGAATATTTGCGTGAACACACTTTCTTGTAAAATTTCTTGATCAGAATATTTTCCAGGTGGAACTGGACAGGGATTTATCAACTTTTCAAGGATTTCTTTCATACCAGAAACAAACAGAAATACTTTGTGATACCAGTGTTCAAACAGTCTACAAAATAATATATCATTATATATAATTAATGACAAAGTTCCTGTAAATAAAAGCAAAAAATATAATATGTGTGTTTAGGGTTTTCTTCCTAAAAATGATGTCAGTAGGTTGGATTTTCTTTAGGTCAGAATCAAGAAAATATTGTAATTTCACCTATCTAGAAAATTTCCGTTCTGGTATTTTCCACCAAAACCTCCGCCATTTTGAATTGCCAATAAACAAAAAGTTACGCTGTTTAAAATGTTGCTAATAGATTTGTCATGTACATTGATAATATAAGCTAACAGTTGCAACAGCTGATAAGTTGATGAAAACCTTTTGCTGAAATTCTCATAAAAGCTTTAGGATCAGTGCTCAAAATTAGGAATATGTGGGGAAACATTACTTACATGTACATACTAATTTTTGTCCTTGGTGACTTTCATCACATCAAAACAAGGATCCTTTTACATGTCTTTGCCCAATTTTTTGTTACAAATGTTCATGTCCACAAAACAATATTAATTGCTATTAGTCTAGGTTAAGAAACCATTTTTAAAATTCATAAATCTCATTGGATCCCAACAGACAATGGTTTGCAAAGGCTATAAGTATGATTGTGCATTTGCATTTATTTTTTGCTGTTCAAGCTTGACAAGCTGTAGCTATGTCAGTAGTGTGAATGTTGGAAAGTGTACTGGTACATTGTACATCATGCAGGTGTGTTGGTTTTTATCTTTTTTTATTATTCTGCTCATTGTTGAAGGCAGTACAGTCTCCAGTTATTGTTCACACCATTGTTCTTAGGACTTTATGAATGATTGTAATTGTCTCATTGGTAATCACACCACTTCTCCAATTCCCCTTATTTTTTTAAATGTACAGGTAGCTATAGGGAAGACAAAAACCCAAACTACAACAAGTTACAGATATGGTAGGTCTACAAAAACTCTCAAACTTTCCACTCCCAAGTACATCGAACCCAAGCATGTTTGGCTTCAACAAAATTTTTACAACAATTATTGAAACAAACACAAATGAGCTTTCCCACTGAGTACAAACAAGAGCCCAAGACATCCTAGGCCTATATCAAAAAGAGATTCAGTGATCATTTACAAATTCAATATAAAAGATATACATGTACATGTCTTGTAAACATGGTAAAAGGAAGATTACTATTTTAATTTAATCTAAAAATAAGAAGATGTGGTATGATTACCAATGAGACAACTCTCCACCAGAGACCAAATGATATAGAAGTTAATAGTTCACTTGCTTGAGACTTATAATAAAGTGTATAACATGAACATGTAATTTGAGAAAAGTATTGGTCCTGCAACTTTAAGATATAAATTTATCTAGACACTAGGTTGGGTAATATACATGTACATTATACATGTCCCCCGTAGGGTGTTTATTTAGAAATATTATTGAATAGCAAGTTAATTTTTCAAGTCACTAATGCACAACCACTTCATTAAAATGTGTTTATTTCTTTTAATGTTTGGATTGATTCATCCAAAGTTGAGAAATAAACAAAGTATAAATCCTATAATGTGCAAAACTTGTATTATACCAATACAGAATTATTGGAGAATATTAAAGAAAGTTAATTTTTTATCCTCTGAAAATGAGTTTCAGTATTTATCTGCATAAAATGTATGCATTTTGTAGCACTAATACTAAATTTTCAGCCAAAAAAATGTATTATTGAATTGGTAAACATTTATCCAACTTGTTACATCTTATCTGCATGGTGTAAAAAATAATAAAATTCCAGCTAAAATATAAGCATGAAATTAATTGTTTACAACACTTGATCAATTTGGGTGCGAAACTTGGCTGTCTATAAAAAGACAATTCGAACCATTTAAGAAGACACCTCGGACTGTCAGTAAGTCAACTTGGACCGTCTTATAAGTCAACTCGATCAGTCTATAATTCCAACTCGGACAAAGTATAAAAGATGAGCTTTAACTACATGTATATAAATGATTTTATATATAATATAATGAGTGTCTTTGACAAAAGAAAAGAAGTCGGTCTACAATGCCAAAAATAAAGCTAGAGAGTTTTGACTACATACTAAAATGACAAAAAATAACCAACTCGGCCCATCTAATTCAAGATAACAACTATTAGACTCTTACTATTTGTATTGACATCATGCATCTGTCTATTATTAAAGATTGAATGACGCCATGAAGATTTATTTGTATTTCTTTTGTCTGAAAGCTGTATGAGTAAATAACTTTTGTAATATTTGGTAAGTTTCTTATTTTTGTTTGTTAAATATTATATACAATGTACATGTGTAGTTATATATTGTATCCTCAATTATTTTAAAGATATGAAAGTACCATTGTTATTAGTCCAAGCATATTCCTTTTTTAAAATGAAATAATAACTTTAAATAATAATTAATAATAATACATGTAATATAGACATACATATCTTTATTTCACCAAAGAAATAATTTCAAGTCATGTACAGGTAACATAAGTAACAAGTATGTCATTTACATAAGAAACATATGATTTGACTTCTAGATAAACTAAAGACATATATACTATGGGAAAGTTATCTCATAAAGTTTCTACTTTAAAAGCGCTCCAGTTAAACAGTATGATTCATCTCATAAACAATTATCAAGATCATCGCTTTCTAGTAAGTTTTGTTTTACTTAAGAAATATTGTCAGTCTACATGTACATGCTTCAAATTGTCGAAAGAAATCGTTAATCTAAAAAAAAAAAAAAAATGTGGATAGTGGACACAGATGATGCCCCCGCTTGCATATCATATAGTTATAAAGGGACATAACTGAAGAACGGTAAAAGTGACACTACCCAAATTTGAACTTGATCTGAGTTTTGTGGTAATAAGCATTGTGTGTAAGTCTCATAACATTTGGTTGAGGCTAACTTAAGTAGAGAACAGAAACTAAAAATTCAGCAATTTTTCTATTTGTAAACACGCATAACTCTAGAATGGTTGTGTATAAGTTTTATAACATTTGGTTGAGACAAACTAAAGTTAGAGAACGGAAACGAAAAATTCAGCAATTTTTATGTTTATAAACCGACATAACTCAAGAATGGTAAAAGAGTCGCCACCAAATTTCGTACCTAATCTGTATTATGTAGTAATAATCATTGTGTATAAGTTTCATAACATTTGGTTGAGGCAAACTAAAGTTAGAAAACGGAAACAAAAAATTTGTACTTGATCTTAGTTTTGTGGTAATGAATATTGTGTATAGGTTTCATAATGTTTGGTTGGGGCAAACTTAAGTTACAGAATGGAAACTAAAAATTTTGCAATCTTTAGATTTATAAAAGGGCATAACTCAATAATGGTTAAAGTGACACTACCCAAATTCAACTTGATCTGTGTTTTATCAGTGGAAGTCAAAATTAAACATTGCATTGTATGAAGCATTGATTGTAGTTGATTCAACTACAATGAATAATCATGGACAAAGGAAGATAACTCCAATTTTAAAAATTACTGGATATTTAAGAAAATAAAAATTTTGCAATTTTTCCATTTATAAAGGGGCATAACTCTAGAACGGTTAAAGTGACGCCACCAAAATTCAAACTTGATCTGTTTTTTGTGGTAATAAGCATTGTGTATAAGTTTCATAACATTTGGTTGAGGCAAACTTAGGTAAGAGAACGGAAACTAAAAATTTTGCAATTTTTCCATTTATAAAGGGGCATAACTCTAGAACTGTTAAAGTGACACCACCAAAATTCAAATTTGATCTGTGTTTTGTGGTAATAAGCATTGTGTATAAGTTTCATAACATTTGGTTGAGGCAAACTTAAGTTATAGAACGGAGACTAAAAATTTTGCAATTTTTCCATTTATAAAGGGGTATAACTCTAGAACGGTTAAAGTGACGCCACCAAAATTCAAACTTGATCTGTGTTTTGTGGTAATTATCATTGTGTATAAGTTTCATAACATTTGGTTGAGGCAAACTCAAGTTAGAGAATAGAAACCAATTTTGGGACGTACGTACAGACGGACAAAGGTAAAACTTAATGCTCCCACCGCTACGTCGGGGGCATAAAAAAGAGAGAAAATCCATTGCTAAATGATAACAAACAAAAAGATGTGTACAATGCCACAAAAAGATAGAAATGTGAAAAACCGGACTACCAAATATTTTACCAGCCTAAATCTCTTGCTACCAAGAAAGTATTGCAAATAAATAAAAATGAGAGGAAACTGAAAAAAATGCAATGAAAGGGGTACATGTATATATTAAAACGAAAAGTAGGAAAGAGAAATGGTTAATTCAATATTTAGTGTTTTTTAAACAAATCTGTAGAAAAAAGCTTGACGGATTGAAAAATTCTTTGGAAGAATGTCAACATCATCTCCTAGTTCACATTGATGTCACGTCATGCTCACTGGTACCAACATCGTGCTCAACATCAATGTGAACACCAAGCTATTCATACCTTTTGAAAAAATCGGTCTTTATGACATGTTATATATAAGCTTGTGTAATTGGATAATCACTTTCTTGATCATTCAATTAGAATAATTAAATTTATATTATTGATTTATAACTTAGATTTAATATATTTAATTATGGCTGTAGGTAAAATGAATTGAGACTATAAGAAACAAATATACCATCTGTACCTAGATCTGATGTAATTTTTAATTGTAGCAATCATATCATTAAGTTTTCTAGTAATTTAATGTACACACATTCTTATCTTGGTCTCGTTTTAAACAAGCATTTAGACTATAACATCCAGTGTTCTCCCCAGGAATTTTGGATAGCATCACATTTGGCGTAAAAAAAAATTGTATTTATTTTTCAATGTCATTTGTTGCGTCGCGGCGATGCTCTCTTTCTTTTAAGTTATGTTGATTTTTTTCAATTCATAACTGAGAATACAATTAAAGTATAACTGTTCTTTTAGTTTATTTCTTTAATATTCATTTATAGTTACAGAATTATATTTTTCTTGTTAGAAACTACCAACTAAAAATCTAGTACAAAAGAGAACTTCTTTTATATCAAAAAGGAAAAGAAAGTATCATACATGTCATATAGTAATACAATTTCAATTAAAAACTATTCTGTTTATCATGTTTATGAAATTCATTATTTCCTGGGACTCAATGTATCAGTCCCAGTTGTTTCAAACAGATATATGTTTTTAACATTGTTATCTGTATCTGTATGAATACGTTGTCGATACCAATACTTGCTTTAATACAACGGTTAAACTACTTTAATCAGTAAATTAATTGAAACAATGCGTTTACATAGAAATAAATACATTTTGCAAGGAGATCTAACAAATAGTCTGTAAATTCATGTGGAATGAGTAGCTTTCCCTATTGGGATCATTATTATTCTGTCAGCTGTGCCGTTTCTGCGTCTGTAGTTATTACCGTAAAAATGCGGATTTTGATCATAGCTGGTCCGCTTCCGATCCGTAATTAGTACAAATATATCAAAAATCAGATCTTTATTAATTAAATACAGCCTACCATCAATCTTTAACATTTTAGATGAACCACCTCCAAAATTAAAATGGAAGAACTCTATCAGGAAAGAGATTGACACCTTCTGGGTTGAACATGTGATTACCATGTCTGTCTACTACAAGAGTATTTCATTTATTTCTACATCCAATTTTAAAACTGGTCATCTACACAATGCTCTAGCAAGTGTCCAGACTTCTGCAAAAGACATCCAGCGTCTCCCCATCAAACTTAGACTCCTTACTGGTACATACATTCTCCAATGTAATAGAGCAGCTTTCAATCAAGTTGACATCAACCCAACATGTCTCTTATGCGAGGAGGACGCTGAAACATTAGACCATTTCATTCATTCATGTCCTGCTTTAGCTTCTGCTAGAAACTATCACCTGCTTGAACTTTCAAATATTATCAATAAAAGCGAGCTCTGTCAGAAATGTAGAACATTAGAAAAACTAGAAATTAATACACAATTAATATTGGATGCTAGTGCCTTGCTCTGTAACTGTCAATGTAAATGTGGATGTACAGATTTTCTTTATCTCATAGAATACATAAGTAGAAAACTTTGCTTTGCTTTGCACATTAGACGTAATACAATATTATTAACATTGCCGGTGAATAAAAAGAAAGGATTGCTTGCAACCACTCAGTCAAAGGCGTGAATATTTAAAATCTAAATTATCTTTTGTTTTAGATTTTAATAGTTTAATAAACATTTAGTGGGTGTTAAATACACCATATCCTACTCTGTAACCAGAGGTGTGCCTTTGAAAGGCAGGATCTTCATACAAGACAAGACAAGACAATGGCGGTCGAAGAAAAATTTACGAAAATAAACAATGTTTGAGAAGCGAATTGGATGAATATATCACGATTTTACTGTAATAAATAGATGAAACATTACCTAAAGGCAATTTTCATCACGTTCTAATGAAGCAAAGGCTGTTACTGCATGGTTATACATTTTAGGTTAAAATAATAATAATACATAAAGAATTCAACAAATAAATAAAACAGATTTAGCCTAGACTTTTTTTGGTTAAATTAAAGATTTTTAACAAATTGATAAAGGTAGGCAGGTAAGTAGGACTTTAAATTCACATAAAAAAAATATTTTGATTATGTTTTGCAAATTCAGCAACATGTAAATGATACTGCCATGAAAAATATAACATTTAATCATTTATAACATGTATAATCATTTAAATACATGTAGTTCAAATCCTCTTTTTATACATGTAATTTTTCTGAGTTGTCATTATAAATGGTCTGAGATTGACTTTATAGATGGTTATAGTTGACTTACATTTGTATTTGTCAGTCCCAGTTGACTCATTTCGAGTTGTCTCTGGGCCAAGTTGTCCCACATTCAGAGATTTACCTGATGATAAGCATGATAAGTAATGGAAGTACTATACAAAAAATATAGAGTTGTGGTTAAAGCACATTATTAATTTTCACTTGTTATGTGATATGTTTTATTTACATTATTTTCCATGTTGTATACAATGTATGTCATGTGTGATGTATACTTGGATTACACATTGTCATATTATATATGTGCTTTATCCAATAAACATAAGTTAAGCCCTTTTCAACTGATTGTTATAGTTTGTTCTTATGTTGTGCTGTTACACCACTGTCCCAGGTTGGGGAGGGTTGTGCGCTCACAAACATGTTTAACTCGCTACATTCTTTATGTGCCTGTCCCTAGTCAGGAGCCTGTAGTTCAGTGATTGTCGTTGGTTCATACCTGTCATATTTGTTTTTTGTAAATTGTTTTGTTATGAATTAGGCCATTAGTTTTCTCAGTTGAATTATTTCATATTTTTCATGTCGGGGCCTTTTTATAGCCAACTATACGGTATGGGTTTTTCTCATTGCTGAGGGTTGTTCGGTTGCCTATACTATAATTGCTTGAATCCATTTCATTTGAACTTTGGTGGATATTTCTCTCATTGGCAATTATACATGTATCATATCTCTTTATTTTTATAATTATAAAATACTTGATTTGATATGTCAACATTTAATTTTTAAGGTTATCATTACCAAAAGAGGACAGTTTATCAGTTTTCAGACCTAGATCTACATAAATTGCTTAGCCGAACGCAGCTGGATACCACCGCAGAGGTCCAACCCTGAACAGTTGGGGCAAAAATGGACACAATATTCATGCTTGATACAAGTCTGAATTTGGATTGTAATTAAATATTTGACACATAATAGGTTTCTGACACAGAATAACTGTAGTCAAAGAACTTAGAATTGGTTATATGATTTGAATTTATATTCAATTTTTTGCTTTTGTGCAATACACTATGCTGTTGCGAATTGACCTTCTCCCCAAAAACATTTTTTTTTACCCCCCCCCCCCCCCCTTTTTTCAAAAAAAAAAAATATTTGAAGAAATTTTCTTTTTGATTTCTGAAATCTTCAGGAAAAAAAATTTGTCCCCATCCCCCCACCACCAATTTTTTTTACCCCCCCCCCCTCCCCCAATTTTTAAAAAAATTTCCCTCCCCCCCTTTTTCCAAAAAAAAAATTATTTCCCTCAAGATATGGTCATAATCTCAATTCAAATTTCCAATGGAGTTTGCAACCACAATTACCCATTTAAATACATCATAAAAGTCTTAAAATAGAAAATGACAAACATTATCATGGCTAAAATTAATTTACCTTAATCAGCATTTTTAAAATAATTAAAATAGTTAACTTCTAAAAAATAAATTGACAGCTAATCACCTCAAGACAATACAACATTTCTTTATACATAATTTAAAAGCAGTGTAAGGGAGGTAATTCAAACACAACATTGAATTACCTCCCTTACACTGTAATTTGTATTTAAGTTATTGTCCATTAACCAGGACACCCTTGTTTTTTCTCACTTTTTTGCCCCTAATTCTTAAACGGTTTGAGCCAAAACCCGGTAACAAGACATTTCGGCACCCAGGTCTGAAGACATTTTGGCATCTGTTTTGGACAATTCGGCACCTCATTTTTCTCTCTACATATATAAAGAAAAATAAAAGAATTGTTACAGTAATAGTATAATCCTAGATCAGACTGCTCATGCTGCTATGCTAAAGGAATGTGCCAGTGTGTATGGACATGATGGACCACCACCAAAGTGACTTTGTTAGAACTTATAGTGCTGCCTGTATATATGTTATATGTTATACATGTTATATTTATAGTATTTTAAATATTTCATTACTATCATATGTTCACCTTTTATGCAAATCTAATGCTGCTAATGCATCTATAAACTGTTGAATATAATTATAATAAATATTAATAAAATAAATATTATAAGTATGCTACATGTGTTTTATTGATTTAGAATACTTTCGGAATAGAACTATGCATAAATTAAAACTGGTACATGAATGGTGAAATTTTTAAAATCAATTTTCATGCATCAAGAAAAAGAATACACACAAATAAGACAGCTACCAAAATGACTATGCTGCAATACAGTCTTCACAAATAAACCACTTCATAAAATACTTCTTCGAAGATACCATATACAATAATGTCATAGATAGTGCAGGAATCAAAATGGTAATTTGTAAAAACAGTCGAAAATAATTGCTATATTAACACTAAAGTTGCAAATTGAGTTCATGCCCACATACATGTACCTACAATGTAGATATCAGTGCCAGGTAACTTTAATTTTTGGTTCATATATTTTGATCAAGAATTTAATAATTGATTTTATCTTTATGAGGTGCGGATTTGTCTATGTTAGGTGCCGATTTGTCTGGAGGACGAAGTGTCTTTCTCAGGTGCCGATTTGACCGGATGCCGATTTGTAGGATGCCGATTTGTCTGGGTGCCGAACTGTCTAGAATTCCCAAAACCCCCAAAGCCAATCCTAATCATCCCATTGTGGTATGGAAACTTGTGGTATAATTTCAGAGAGATCCATACACCGTTCCACAAGTTATTGTCTGGAAACTAGAAAAATGCTTATTTGGGCCCCTAATTCCTAATTATATATGTAAACTGTTAGGACTATAACCCCCAAAATCAATCCCAACCTTCCTTTTGTGGTTATAAACTTTGTGTTTAAATTTCATAGATTTCTATTTTACTATGTTTACATTTACTTAAGTTATTGTATGGAAACCAAATGTCTTCGGACGAGGTGACAACGATGACAATTATGTGATACCAATTTACGACTGCAAAATTATTTGTAATCATATAATAAAAAGTAAGAGTATGGGTGTTGAACAACATGAAATTTGATTGCAGCCTTAAAACTGGAATACAATGTATTACCTATTATTTAATCTGTCGGTTAATATTAAAGTTGGAAGATTGTCATTCCCTCTCCACCTCGTTTTTTCATAGAAGTCAGATAATGTTTTGTTAATTGTACAGATAATCATTAACGATTCTTGTTCTATTTCCACTTCTTGTAACATTAATGCTATTGGTAAGGTTGACTTCTTATTCCAATTGACACAAGGTAATGAAAAGCTAAGAAGGTCCCCGGTGAATTTTTTGAGTGAATCAATAGTGGTGGGAAAGTCTCCAGAACCTTTAGATCCTTTCTGTAAAATTTTAAGATTTTTAATCAAATTATCCATAGATATAGGTTTCATCGAGAAGAAAACTCCAACATCGTTCAATTTTCCCTCTGACAGCTCTGTCAATTTCGGCCTTTTAAGTCTTTTACAGTGAGAAAACATTTCAATGTCTGAGTTGAAACTTGATTCTTCGTCGCTAATGGTTCGTTTATATGTTGCCATTATAGCTGTCAATGATTATGGTTAGTACTTTAGCCTACTGTACACAACCCGACTGGAAACATCCACAGGGTCGACGAATAAAATGAAAACATCCGGTTGTTACTGTAGCGCCATCTATTGGTTTTCAAATGTAAGTTCTCGGAATAAATCGGTCAAAAATTCCGGAAAATGAACATCAAATAACATGTTAAATGACCTAAATATAGAAACATGTCATTCAGGTAATCACCATGACATTCCAAACATGTCCAAATTTACAATAAAAAGTTTAGAGAAAAGGTCTGTTACCTGTTACCTGTTACCATAGATATAATAGCCATTATATATCTATGCTGTTACCTAGTCTTTATCTTCCTCCTCTAGCAGGAGCTTCGCTTCTAAAGCGTACTTATTTGCACCCTAACTCTTACACACGGAGCACTCTAAAAGTTGGCTTACAGTTTATGTACATACACTTAAAGTTAATAAAGCACCAACTTATTTACAGCATGCGGACTAATCCATCACCATATAAACGAAATTAACTAGCCATTCACAATCTTTATTTTCTGCAGACGAATAACTCCTACCCACGGATCAACGTTTACTGTTCCAACACTTTCATCTTTATCATTAAATCTAAAAGCTTTCGACTCCTCTACAGTTAAGCGTTAATTTTATATATATAACACACACATTGAATAACGTAGTACTTAAAATCTGAAATCAATTGACTTCTTCTCATAAACCTTGGATAAGTGAATTTACAGTTCAAACACTATCCACCTCACTATATAATAGAATAGATTCCATTGTTAAAATTCAGTGCAAATATAAATAAAATGCATATCGAAATGCTAGCTGAAATAAAATATTATATTTTTTTCCCTCATCACATCCACTCCTTAGACATTAAAAATAAACGTTTGTGGTAAAGTTTGTAGCATAGACCTCAAATTAATGTCTCAATAGGGACCTGTTCTTTAAATGTAAGAAAATTATATGTTTTGCAGTCTATTATCAAATGTAAAAGTTTCTCTTCACTATCAAATATTTCCTGTATCAGTATAGACAGCTTATTACTATTTTTTATAAGAAAAGATTTCAGCTCTTGAATAAAGCGATTTCGTATGCTTGACAGCTTTTCATAACTAATTATAAAGTGAGTCACATCTTCTGGTTCAATATTACACAATTGGCAGTATGCTGTAATTCAGTTTCTTGAAAATCTAGACCTCTGATACTGATGAATCGTTATGCCTGTGGCAGTTTTCACTTTAATAGTAGCCATATTTACAGAGTATTGGTCAGTCTCACTGCTATTTCAATATTATGAACAGTTCCTATGTTGGAATCATTGAAATTAATATATTTCAAGGATGATTTCCCTTTTACTTCCAGTTTTAGATTTTGTAAAATATAATTATCAATACATAAATTCATTCAAGTTAGATAAAACAAAACATTTCTCCAACACAAGAATATGTATGAAACAAAGCCTTGTCCAGCAGTTGATTTTTTTGTGTGCATGTATTTAAAATAATTGCTTGTTGAAAAACAAATTAGATATATATATATAAAGGATATAATTAGAGTTACAGTGAAGCTAGAGTAAATTAATGTATATCATCTATTATAAATCATACAGAAGACTCCGAGTCTCACCGCGAGAAGAAGAAAAAGGCCAAAATTAGAAAGATAAAAATGTATTTCACCAAAGAGCACTGCCTGGTACCAATATATTTATAATAGTCCCAGAAAAGCACTAGTATACGATTCGGACGCAAGAAGTTTTTACAGTGTTGTTTCCAGTTTTTTTACCCTTGTATTTATATTTTACTTAATTTGTACTTTATCGAGAGAGTGTATACTATATACGGTATGTACTATCAACTACATTTTTTTTTGATGGGCGTCTGAGTCACCTACAAAGTCTTTGTTAGATTTATTTGTATGTTTGCTTGAATTTTTTAGTCAGCTGTGTTGTATGTCTGTGATGTATGCAATTTTTGGCTGCTGGATCCCAATTATTGTCACATTAACCTATTATGTCTGTTTGGGTTGCTCACTCAATTTTGTCAATTATGACAACAGAACTAGAAACAACTGCAATGAACAGGAGAGAGGTTTAGCTAGCTATAAAACAGGTTTAACCCACCCCTTTTCTCCGGAAAATACACCATAACTTGAAACTTAGCAGAACAATTATTAGTAAAAACGACAAATAATATATACTGAAAAAATGAATATGCACAATAATAATAATAATTCTTTAAAAAAGGGCGCCGTAATACATGTATAAGAAAATAAGAAAGCAAAAAAAAAAAAACCAAATTGACGCGAATCATTCAAAATAAAAATAAGGAGATGTAGTATGAATGCCAATGAGACTACTATTCACCACAGTGGTCAACTGACGAGGCTTCAACATGGTAAAAACCCTACCTGCAACCTTTGGGGGTTGGGCGGGCGACATTGCAAAATTATAAAATATTTAAAAATCAAGAATCATATCAGTTTAGAACTGCATGTTCTGCTTGTGACCTAAAAGGGGGATACCCTACTGGAGCCCCCAGGTAATACACAAATGCATGCACCTTATGATAGACACAATTGCATCATAATATAAATATAAACATATATGCATATTAATTTACCACAAGAATATTTAAATGAAACAAATACAAGATTACAATCCGAAGAAACCCCCACAATATTTCAATACAATACACTGGACACGCTACTGTGTTGAATGTCCATGTTGAGGATGACGTCGTTCTGCGTAGTCTTAAAATGGTTCGTTAAACGCTGACAAGTGTATTCTTCTATCTTCCAGTTCTTGGTGACATAGTCGACGAAAGCTGTCCTGTTGATGAGAATCTCATTGTCGTCTTCAAGTCCAGTAAACCATACACGTCATTAACTAGGTCTGCCGTACTAGAAGCCAATATAACAGCGGCAAGTTTTACCAGTAGGGTCGTTGTTGTCTATGTCAGCGGTGTCATGTCCGAGTCTCGGCAACTTTCTTCTGACGCAGTGGCTTCTAAAAGTGACCATGTCATGCAAATGATCGATGAACAGATTTACGGATAGCTGTCTAAAGGTCAATGAAGTATATCAGCAGTGCTTGTTGGAATAGTGAAAATGACAGACTGTCTTCAACAACTGCTAAGTTTGTTAAGCTTGGTTTTGGGGCGATTCATATGATTCATTTCTCTCAATTATTTGAAAACATACATGTATATAAACTTAATTGTTAAAAAATATGTCTTTGAGCATTTGATCAAAATGTAACATATAGTCTTCCCAGCTTCGGTATATATTTTTTTAAAGATTTTATTCAAATAATAAACATTATTAGAATATTTCAACTTTTTACCTAATCTCAGTCATTTTTCTTTCCGAAGTTATTCGTCATTTAACATGTATAATTATTAGAAGTATATTAATATGAAATTTATATTATACATCCTACACAGCCGTAGCACTATACCATCCCATTATTACTGATAACAACATGTTTAATTGCTATAGAAACACCAAGCCAATCTTTTATTTGACACTTGTTGGATAAACGTGAATTAGATTTTTTAAAATGTTATAGAACATATCTATATGAATCAGCTAAAATGTTCTGCAATGAAATGCTGGGTTAATTTCCCACAACTGTCAAAATCAAGGTAAATTGAATATTTGTTTGCCCCTTTTTAACGTGAAACTGGATGTGACTTTCTATGTCTTGGTGGTATTACATATGGCACGCCTGAACCACTTTTATAGATAATCCTAGATTATCTCAAATAAACTAGAATTTTCTCAGATAAACAAGGATTATCTCACTATTTTGCATTAAGCTCAGATAAACCGGGATTATCTCGGAAATTTTCAGATAATCCCGGTTTTTCTCAAAATTTTCAGATAAACCGGGATTTTCTCTGCTTAATGCATATTTGAGATAGACTTTATTTTCACAAGTAAAAATAAACAAAACTTTATTTGTGAACTTGTTATTTATACAATAACTGGCGGAGAGCAGGATAAAAGCAGGTGTTTTGTAGTTTTATTTTGTTATTGATATTTTCCACTAATCTAATTCAGCTACAAGCTGGCAGCAACGTATGCTCAAGGGAATAAATTCCACAGCGGCTTGCCATAGCTAAAATATGATTTCTGGTAAATAAAATATCCAAAATATTTGTCAAATCTGCGAGTAAAAATGTTATTTTAGGCATATAAACTCTTATGTATTTTAATTTTTTTGAAAACAAAATGAAAATTATGTCTCATGAATAACCATGATGAAAAAATATAGTTTTTTTTTCATAATTGAATCGTGCATTATTTGTGTATTGGATTGCTTAATTTCCTTCTTTCTAGTGTTATCTCTGTTTTGTTTACTGACAAAATTAATGACAAAATATTGCAATATTTTGAATTAATCATTTTACGAAGCTTTGTCACGATTAAAAACTTAAAACCGACTGAATAAATTAAAATATGAGAATTCAATGATTATCGATGTCGAAATTAGCCGTCGGTAATAAATACACAGTCAGTTTGTGTATAAATATCATGAATATGTTTATCCCAAGAAATTTGTTTATAATGTATGTAGAAAGTAAACGTTTATTGTATAATCAGCCTTTCTGTATATTACCTGTTTTTTTAATTGATTTAACAAATTCCGCTTGTCCAGGTGTCAATAACGGTGATGTTCACACCACGGGCAGTTTGATATAAATGACACAATAACACAGCGATCGATCGATAATATAAGTAAAAATTGTATGCCGAGTGCAGAATGTATCCCCTTCTCTGAAAAAAGGTTTGTCATTTTTATATAAAATCTCGCAAAATTATGACCCATATTTTGGCACATCCCCGTTCACCCAATAATATTATGAACCCGCCACTCCCATGGTTTCAAAGAGAACGTAAAACGTCAAACGATTGTCTTCTAATTAAAACACTCGTTACATCGTTGTTTGGTATATTTAGAATCCGAGATAAACCTAAATTTTCTCGAGAAATGAGATAATTGATTATCTGAATTTGAGATAATTAATTATCTGAACATAAATAAGGATTATCTGAAAATCGTTCAGAAAAACCTAGATTTTCTTAATTTTTTGAGATAAACCGGGATTTTCTCCAGATAATGATTTTTTGGTA